TGATCGATCCATCACTGGTCTTGTCACTAGGGACCAGATGGTTGGCCCTTGGCAGGTCCCTGTCGCCGATGTGGCCGTGACTAGGTCGAGCTACGGGTTTGACGTCCTTGTCGGTGAGGCTATGGCCATGGGTGAGCGAACTCCTCTCGCTCTCTTGTCTGCTGGTGCTTCCGCCAGGATGTCCATCGCCGAGTCTCTCACCAACCTTGCCGCCTCCAACATTCCCCTCCTCTCTTCCATCAAACTTTCCGCCAATTGGATGTCTGCCGCCAATTACGAAGGCGAGGGTGCCCGTCTCTACGAAGCCGTACAGGCCGTCGGTATGGACCTCTGTCCCAAGCTTGGTGTCGGAGTGCCTGTGGGTAAGGACTCGATGTCGATGTCTATGAAGTGGGCTGGCGAGAAGGGCGAGAAGAAGGAGGTCACTGCGCCATTATCTCTCATCGTCACTGCCTTTGCCCCCGTCGAGGATGTGTCCAAGACTTGGACTCCCGTCCTCAGGTCCGACAAGGGCGAAACCGTCTTGGTCTTTATCGACCTCGCCAGGGGCAAGCAGAGGCTGGGTGGTTCCGCCGTCGCGCAGGTGTTCAAGCAGCTCGGCCACGAAGCGCCCGATGTGGAGGATGCTGCCGATATCAAGGCGTTCTGGCACGCGGTACAGGCGCTCAAGCAGACCGGAGAGGTGTTGGCGTATCATGACCGATCGGATGGTGGTCTTTTCACCACTGTTGCGGAGATGGCTTTCGCCGGACGAGTGGGTGTGGAGATTAGCCTCGATGCTATTGCGTCCAAGGGTGATGCCGTCTCGGCTCTCTTCAATGAGGAGCTTGGTGCTGTTGTCCAGGTCCAGACTGCAGCTCTCCCCGCCTTCACCGATGCCTTTGTCAAGGCCGGTTTCCCCACTCAACATCTCCACTCTATCGGTCGTGTCCTCGGCCGCGAGAACCAAGGGGTCAGCATCATTCACCAGGGTGAAGCTATCTACACTGGTACCCGAGGTCAGCTCCAGCAGACCTGGGCGGAGACGAGTTACAAGATGCAGTCTATCCGAGACGAACCGACTGGCGCCAAGGAAGAGTTTGATGCCATCCTCGACGACAAGGAGGAAGGTCTCACTTTCAAGGTGCCTTTCGACTTTTTGCCGGACGTCAAGCGATCGGCCAACGCGCCCAAGGTGGCTATCCTCCGAGAACAGGGTGTCAACGGTCACATCGAAATGGCTTGGTCTTTCTACGAGGCTGGGTTCGAAGCCGTTGATGTGCACATGTCGGATATCATCTCTTCGCGTGTCTCCCTTGCCGACTTCAAGGGTCTCGCCGCTTGTGGTGGTTTCTCCTACGGTGATGTCCTCGGTGCCGGTAACGGTTGGGCCAAGTCAGTCTTGCTCAATCCCCAAGCCCGAAAGGAGTTTGAGGCCTTCTTTGCCCGTGAAGACACATTCGCCTTGGGTGTCTGCAACGGTTGTCAATTCTTTGCGCAATTGAAGGAGATCATCCCTGGTGCCGAGAGCTGGCCTCTGTTCAAGACCAACCGCTCCGAGCGATTCGAGGGACGTGTCGTCAACTGTAAGGTCTCTCCCGAGGCCGCGCAGAGCAACATCTTCTTCCGAGACATGGCCGACGCCATCATCCCCATCGCTATCGCCCACGGTGAAGGCCGAGCTTCCTTCGACATCACCGGTTCCCTCTCCGCGCTCAACTCTTCCAACCTCGTTCCCGTCCGATACTCTACTGCCACTGGCGCCACCGCCTCTGCCTACCCTGCCAACCCTAACGGTGGGCCTGAAGGTATTGCGGGTGTCTCGACGCCTAATGGGAGGGTGTTGGCTGTGATGCCTCACCCGGAGCGAGTCGTCGCGAGGGAGAGTTACTCGTGGTTCCCCGATGGTGAGGGAGAAGGATGGAAGGGGAAGGGCCCTTGGTTCAGGCTGTTCCAGAACGCGTACAAGTTTGCCGTTGAGGGGCAATGGTGAGTTGCCTGGCAATCAGACTGGTGTTTCCGTGCTGACATGAGTCAGAGCGAAGATGTGAGAGAGTAACGCGGCTGGATGCGAGTGGTGGATGAAAGCTGTTCATGTGTCATTAAAGTGAGTGTCTTTGGCGTGTCGTATACCAGCACAGCTGACGACTGAATCAGAATCTGGTCTCGCGAGGATGTGCATAGAAGTAATTGCTGTTGGGTGTAGAGAGCTTCGTCGTGTGAAAAACAAAATATCATTGGTTTTGGTCTTTAAATGCATCTGCTTTGGAATTGATTCAAGTAACAGATCGCAAACAACATCGCCTATATGCCTATCATAATGTCTAATGTCCATGATGACCGTGCCTTTCTCAAAATATCAACGCTCTAGAAAAGAAGGCCCGCTTCCTCCGCCCTAGCCTTGTGCACATCGTAAATGTTGGGCTCCTTCTTCTTCTGCTTGGGCTTCAAACCCATCTTTGCTCGCGCCGCATTCTTTGCCTCCTCCCTCCTCTCCTTATCCTTCTTCTCCTTCTGCGCGGGGGTAAGAGGGATATCGTTCTCCTTCACGCCAACGCCGCCAATGCTGGCACCTCGAAGTCGGATACGGCCATCTTTGAGGTGTTCAGTGATGACGGGGGAAGCGGCAGGTCGGTACTTGAACTCGTCCGAGTATCTAAACGCTCCCGCTTCGACTCAGCTGTCGTTCCATTGATGAGAGAAGAAAGATGACTCACCGGCTAGCATAGATGATCTCGGGCTTCTTGTTCCTTCCCCTCCTGCCGAGCCAGATACTAGCCCACATCATGGCGACAAGTCCCACAATCAGGAGAGCGCGCTTCCACCATGCTACGGGAGGGCGTTCAAAGCGGGCTTCAAAGTGAGCGAGACGCTCGCGTTCTTCCTGTGTCTGGGGACGGACGGGCTGGCGCGCGCGAGGGGGGAAGGCGTGGGCGTTGGCGTTCGAGGAGGTGGAGGAGCCGCTGGAGGACTCTGAGGCGCGGGAGGGGATGGGCTCGTAGGGGTTGGACATTCTGGGCGTTGGAAAGCAAAGAGCCAAAAAAAGAAGAAACGCGTGGAAAGCGATGATGGCGGGTCTTATTCGCGTGTCCCATTTACTCGCGGCTATCGTCGGTGCCCCGAGCTATGGTATGCAGATGGTAAGAAGTCCAATTCTCTCGAAGAGCTCTAGCCCTAGAGTCCTCAACAGCCTTGAAGGGGGTCCGCAGTAGCCCTTCCGGACTAAAGAAAGGCCAGAGAAGGCACACGTCGAAGTTCAACTTGAGCAAGTAGCAGTGACACTACACTTTCGGACTGAGTGATGTAGCGATCTGTGATTGCGGCCTACACGCATAAGATCTGAGACGAAGCCTTATGACACATGTTACAGTACGAGTACATGTCGATGTACATCCTCTACAAGCACTCCCGACCTGCCACTTCAACGCAACGCATGGCCTACTGCCCTCTTCCTTCCTTCGAGCCCCTTCCCATTGATGTTTCCAGCGCCTGCACTCTTCACGGCTCTCTTCATAAACCTGTTCATCGACGCCTTCCCTCCAGGTGCTGTAGTAGCTTTTGATTTCGCTGGAAGAACTGGGGGAAGGGCATCGGAGGAGGTAAGGGTGGGCGCAAGAAGATGCAGGGTGGTTTTGTCGCTGGCAAATTGTCAGTATCGTTGTGCGATCAAGATTCACCAAGATTCACCAAGACTCACGAAATCTTTTTGCTGGTAACCTCCTTCGCCACCTTTCTCTTCTTCCTTCTCCTGCTTTCCTCCTTGCCACCAGCCGCTTTCTTAGCAGCGGCTTCCATCTCCCGCTCCTTCTTCTCAGCCTCAGCTTGAGCAGCCGCTTGCAGCACGGATTTGGAGAGAGGTTTGGCTGTGGGGTGAAGGTCGTACGCTGCTTCCTCATCCTCCTCTTCCTCGCTCTCTTCACTCTCCTCTTCTGATTCAGACTCTTCGGCAGCCTTCCTCTTGGGCACCTTCTCTTTTGTCGCCGCCTTGAAGGATGACGGAGCAGTTCCAGCCCGCTTCTCAGCTGCCTCCATCATCTTTTGCATTTGCCCCCACCGGGCCTTGCTCGATGCGTCAATCTTGATATTTGACAAGTTTTCCGAGTCGTCCGTGTCGTAACCTTCCTCCTCCTCTCCTCCTTCTTCTTCCTCCTCATCTTCAGAGTCGGTGTGGAAAGACTGCCGATCGTCGCCAGAGACATCATCGCCCGAATCAAGATCCGAGTCTTCAGAGTCACCAGCTTGCGCCATGGCAGCCTCCATTCTCCGTCTCAGTCTCTTGGTCTCTTCATCCTCATCTGCATCATCATCTTCGTTTTCACTCTCACTTTCAGAAACAGGAGCAGGCTGTTTGCCCTTTCCTTTCTTGGCAGGCTGAGGTTTGGGCTGGGCTTTGAGTTTGGCAGCGGCGATGGCTTCGGCACGGGTTTTGGCAGCTTTGGCTTTCGACAGACGTTCCCTAAATTCACAGTCAGCTTGAACATCTATACCATGGCGTTGAAGCAGTCTTTCAGAAGATTCTGATCACTTACAAAGCTTCTTTCTCGGCCTTCTCCCTCTCTTGAGCTTGAGCAGCGCTCATGCCCACAGCTTCCGGCGCATCATCATCGCTCTCATCCTCCTCTTCCTCATCACTCTCTCCCTCATCTTCTCCACGTCTAGATATTGAGCCTTGGGGGTCAACGCCGTCATGATCTTGGTCGAGCATCTCTTCATCGGAAGAAGGAGCATCGTCGAAAGTGATTTTCTTGCCTGCTGAAGGCTGGATGGCGGTGGGTGCGGTGGATGTCTTTTTCGCCATTTTGTAGAGCCTTCTAATGTGTTGCGGAGAAGTCAAGAATGGTGGTGTATGGTTGTCGAAAGTGATCGCAAAGAATATGGTATTGGATGAAGAGTTGTCTGCGACGAGACTGATTGAAATTTCTATGTCCGGCCAGGGACCAGATTTGTCCGGACCCGCTCATTTCATCTTTCCGGACATCTCCACCTGCCGTTTCAGAATCTCCGCTCGAAGCTGCATCGAGTCTCCTCCACATACTTCATTCCATCAATCATACATGCCCCCTTCGTGAAATGCCGTATGTATACAATATATATATGGGTAACTACAACCGACTACACTCAATCCCTCGATCTCTTTGACGCCCTTTTTTCATGTTCATCACTGCTCCGACCCGAAAGATTACGCGCCCCCAAGCTATCGAAAGTATTGTCAGCGAGACTGTTTGAAAAGTTGAACTAGTCTGAGCGCACCCACTTCCTCCCAGACGTAAAAGCTCCTCCCAGATTCCCGACATTCTGCAGATTCGACAAAAAGCCGCTCACCCCTGCATCTTGCTTCCCTCCAAGTCTTTCGCCACCCCCCAGTCCCTCCCATCCATGTTCCGCACCTCTGCCGCTCCCGAACCCGCCCAAGATCTTCTCCCTCGATGCCGCGCCAGCAAAACCGCCAGAGGCCTTTTCGTGCGCGAGTTCAGCTTGGACATTGCGGTAAGCTTCGTTCCTGTGGATCTTGTAGGCAAGGTTGTGGGAAGCCTCGTTAGCTGAAGCGGTGCGGAGAGTGTTGATTTGGTTGTCGAGGGCAGAGAGGAGGGTTTGGGCGGTTTGGCACCTGAGTGGCATCAGCCTCGTGCACATATAGAATTGTGGGGTAACTTACCAGTTGGCCAAGCCTTGTTGCAGCTGTTCAAGGTCTTTCGGGCGCACGTCTCTACCAGAGACAGAATCGATGTGGAGGACCTTTTGATCGTGATGGAGCTTGCCGGTGAGCAATCCCGCGTAGATGGTGTCGATGACGGTATCCTCGACTTGGCGGATGGATTCGAGTTGGAGAGCGGATGAAATGTGGTCGTAGCTGAGAGACTGTAGTTCTTGGTCAATTCTTTGTTCAGGGCCATTGATTTAGACTGACGCGATGTTGTAAAGCAAGAGCGACAAGGGTTAATTGCTTGAGCTTGTGAAGATGAGCTTCTTTGAGCTCGGGGAATGAAGACTTGTTCTCTGTGTCTGCGTAAGTGGCATATTCAATAATTCTCGAAGATAGTAACTCACTCTCATAGTCTGACAATGTTCCGTAGGCAAACAATCGCAACAGCTCGATATGACCCTCAAATGAAGGTTCGGCAGCAAGCTGTACGCTTTGGTATTAGCAACGTTCCTCTTTGTAGCCTAAAGTACAGTTCCACTCACCTGCTGAACATTGGGGGCATCCAGAAGTTCACCAAAGACATAGACACCGGGCTAAGTGACATAAGCATGACTATCTCGCGCGGCTCGGGCGGGGACATACAGCTGCGGTCGCGTCCAGAATGACTTTGGCGGCTGCAGCGCCTTTTGTTGATCTCACGAGAATGAGAAATGGTTCCAAGGCGGCTGCCGGGTCGGACATGCTGACGTTTCCGTGGGTCGAGATATGACTGCAAGCATATATATAGCGCTCGAAAGCGACGACGATGATGAGCGCGGCGGCATCCTCGGTGTGTACGTAATCAGGAAGATGCCACCATTTAATCCCGTTCCTCTTTCGCAAAACTTTATCCGCTCCTTCTTCTTTCCCACACTAAGTGCCCCTCACATAGCCATCCTCCACTTCCGACGTCCACCTAGTCACTCAACATGGATGCCCACGAGCCACTCCACCTCGCCCAGGCGGTCAACGACTTGCCCTTCATGGAGGAGGACCTCAGCGACACCCAGCACTTCTTCCAATCTCCGCCGCCCGAGGACGAGGCCGACGCCCACCATCAGCAGCAACAGCATGACCTCCCAGTGGTCCCCGGCTCGGGGCTCGACGAGAGCAGGCCTCTGACGCAGGAAGAGATCAATGCTGCGATAAAGCAGTCGATTTTGAAGGCGCCGGATCATGTGAGGGACGAGATGGATCATGAGAACGGTCTGGGCGACGGGTCAGAGCTCGTAACGTCATCAGGTATCGAGGCAGACGCCCAACACCATGGTCCTACACCCACTCTCAATTCTCCTATTCCTACCGGACGTGATTCCAACAACGTCTCTGTAGCCGGGCCAAGCGGGCTTGCTCTCTTGGGCTCGGAACACAACCCCATCTACAACCCCACTGTCTACATGGCCCCGTTCTCCAAGCCTGAACGTAGCCAGGAGGATACGCCTCAGCCGGCGTACTATGTCTTTGACAATAGACAAGCGTTCAACGCGTGGCTGGACGGCGAAGGGAGCTGGTGCCATTTCGTGCAGAGGCGAAGTACGACTCCGGACAAGAGGTCTCAGGAGAGACTACAGACCAGGATTGCCAAGCATAACAAGAAGCTTGAAGGTGAGCCACTCGAGCTGTTATCTGCTTCCCTTCTGACCATATCCCTAGGAATGAGCGAAGAAGAACGCAAACTCGCACTTCCCCTCAAGACTCGTCGACGTAACCGCGTCTCCCCTGTCGCCGAAAAGGTGACTTTTACCTGTCACCATGCTGGTACCTACAATTCCCAACACTCCTCAAACCTCCCCAAAGAGAAGCTGAGGATGAACACCAAGAAGAGTGTCAAGTGTGCTTGTCCGAGTAGGATTGTGTTGAGCGAGATGCAAGCTGGAGATTGCAGGGTGTGCTATCACTGGAAGCACGAGGGGCATGGTGAGTCTCTGCCTCTGATGTCATGAAATGTTTGCTGATGCTCTGTCAGACCCATTCACGGAAGGCGATCTCGATGGCGGAAGGATGAACAAGGCTATCGATGAGTGGATGGTCGCTCGGATCAACGAAGGCAAGACTCCAGAGGAGATCCGCCGATTGCTTGACATGGACGAAGACGCAAAGAAAGCCGTACGTATACTTGTCACAAGATTGTGTCCAATCGCTGACCTCTCATAGTACCTCGACAAAGTAGCCGCCGACCCCTCCCAGATCGATCCCAACCTCCCGCCCCCTGTCGCCCTTGTTCGCGAGACCAAGTTCCGCTACTCCGAAATCTACAATCGCTTCCGCAAATTGAAGGGACCTATCAAAGAGACGAAGCAGCAAAAGGCTGCTACCGCTTCCGGCTCCAAGAAGGCGGGCAAGGGCAAACGCAAGGCTGGTGACCTGGACGCCATCCCTTCGCCCACGCCTACTTCCGACGGCCCCGAGCTTCTGGGCGATTCATCCAAGCGAGCTCGTGTGGACGGGCCCGACCCCAACATGTTTATCGACCCTTCCCTCCAATCTCCCAATTCCCTCGCCCGAGCCGATGCGGCCGCGGAGCATACCCAGACCGACGCGCTCGACGCCATCTCCCACGCTGCCAATGCTGTCGCAGACACCGACCATCATCATCACCTCCACCACATTCCCTCGCATGATGAACATGGTCATGAGCACGGTCATAGCCATGGAGAGGGCGACAATGAAGATGAGTACGCCTCCCTCGCCGCGCCTCATGAGTCTCTTGCCCGCGCTCTACTTTCCCTCCCCGGCGCGGCCAACAGCTCGAACCATCCCTCCACCATGGGTACTGCTGCCGCTGCCGCTGGCAATGACAACCCCGATGGCAACCTCCATTCGACAGGTGCTGGCACTGGTATCGGTGTTGACCTTGGACATGGCTCAGCTTTGGGCCATGGGCACGACGCACACCACCATGGTCAGGCGCAGGGTCAGAAGGATGAAGATCTTGAGGCGATGACTCTGGAAGAAGCTATGAGCTTCGAAGAGGCGATGAGAAGATTGGCGGGTGAGGTTGCTGGTGTTGGTGAGGAAGGGGAAGGGGAAGGGGAAGGGGAAGGAGGGATCGAGATGGGAATAGAGATGTAAGGGATTGAGGATTCATATCGGAAGAAGTGAAAGCTTGGATGACCGTCGAGTAGTATTCACGAATGATTATACTCCTTCGATTGTACAGTAGAAGTACTTTTTTGTCCGTCACTTATGGGGGACTCAATATTTACGTTGTTTGTTCAGTATATGTACAATATTCAGATATTGTGACTCTCTGCTTAGAACTTGACCCAATGCAAGCCAACAGGTCATGTGGCGGCAGGTTGTTCATGTCAGAGATGCAGTTCTCGAACATCGTGGTATCAATCTGACGTCCAGACGTGAAGGCCGACGGAAGTATCCGAAGAAAGAGAATAATGAGTTGCAGGGAACGGATGATGCATGATAACATTACGAGTACATCCAATAGGCTACTCAATGAAAGATATGGCGCAACATGAAGAGAAGATGATGCGGTGAATTCGGTATGAATGTAGGAATCCGTGTAGGAATGAGATCACTATCTAATCTACCGATCTTGACACGCCGACCTATAGGAAACAAATGCAATGAAATTGCCAAGCCAAAGAAGAAGGAAAGAGAAATAGAGACCCAAACGCAATATTTTCAAAATTGATGCTCAAGTCGCAAACTATACTTTTTTTGTGAAGACTGCTCTGCGTTCGTACGGCCAACTTCGTCTCATGAAAGAATCATCATCGTCTCAAAAATATTACAAAAAATAGTAGGAGCGATAAGCAAAAGGGTAGGACAAGCTATACAAGGGGATGACATCAATTGAGGAGATTCTTCAATCCCGTTTTGGCCTTGCTTTCCACTGCCGGCGAGGGATAAGACATGTCTACACCCTTCTTCCTGTCCTTCTCTTTATTTGACCCCACTCCCGCCGATCGATGGGACTTGTCCTTCTCACTGTCGCGACTGGTCTCCACAGGCTTCAGCCGTTCGCTGGAATCCTGGGTGGATGCGCCCGTCCTGAACCCGGGCGGGGGCACCGAGACGCCTAAGCCCGTGCCCGATCCGAATGGCGGAGGGTTGATAGGCACCCTTGGGCCTGCCGAAAGAGGGCCAGCACCCATACCGGAATGATGGGTATGAGGAGGAAGAGATGGTGGATAAGCCGTCATGTATGCTTCCCGTTCTCGGATACTGTCTGAGGTTGAAGGACGCGGGAGGTGGTGTGTCTCGGGGTACATGGTGCTGAGAGGCGACGTTCGAGGGGTAATGTGTTGGCCAGAGGGAAGAGACGAGGGCCGCTGGCCGGGAGGGAGGATATTGCCACTGGATTGTGACGTTTGAGGAAGCCGGGGGTCGGCGACGGCTGATCGATGAGAGGCAAATGGAGGAGGCGTTTCAACTAGCACCAAAATCAGTACGCAGTTGAACGACACAAAGTCAAAACTAACAGCCAAATCTTCCCCTCTCTCTTTCCCGTTCTCGACCCTCTCTCTCTTCACTTCGTCCGCCACCGCCGCTCGCCATGATAGCCAAGGCATCTGACGCCATGAATGCTTCATACTTTTGACGCATGTCGGCGTTCTGTCGGCTCAGAGTATCTTGCAAAGCACGCAGCTCGGGTGAATCTACAATGTTTCGTCAGCATACTTCCAAAGCAGAGATAATGGCACTCACGTTGTTCTCCAGCAGCCCACCCCACCATCTGCAACAAATAACTCGTAAAGTCCAGATTGTTCCTGACGTGCTCAATCCTATCATTGTTGAGTACGTCGGTGAGTCTCTGCACCTTGTCCTCCAACAGCATCACTTGCGACACAAGCGTATCTACCATCTGCGACGGATGCCCGTACACAGGTGGCTCGGCATACCCAGGCGGCATATACCTTCCGGCCGATAAGGGAGGCCGGCTCGGATCAGGGTGATACCGAACGGGGACCTGGTTATCGGGCGGCGGCATACGCTGCGAGGCTCCAGGATGTCGGGGATCCCAAGCGGGCGCCCCGCGGGAAGGCGGTCTATCGAGTTTGGGAGGAGCGAGCGGAGCATCGGTATAGGGGTAGAGAGGGGCGCGTGAGGCAGCGTTGGGTGATGGCATGTGGTGATGAGGGTGGTAGCCGACTGGACCGACATCTCTCATCCAACCGGCCACAGCCTTGGGCACCTCGGGTCCTGAATCATCGGTGGGAGAAGCCAAAGGAGCTCCCTCGGCCGCGCTGGGCCGGGAGGATTTCCGCTTGATACTGGGGAGAAGATGCTGCTCGCCACGGCGGAAAAGGTTGTGTCGGAATTCCCAAGCTTGAGGATCGGTGGAAGTGGAGTAAATGTCGTTCACCTGTGGTGTTCAGGATTAGATAACGACATTTGGCGCTACGGGAGGCGGGGGACGGAGAAATGAACGAACCTTGTTAAATCTGCCGGCATAGAAAGGAAGAAGATGAAAGTGCCGTAAGCGGAACTATTCGGCATGCGATTTCTCGGCATCGTTGGGAACTCCGCTTGGGCGAAACCCCGCCCGTGTTCCCAGCAAGCGCCACACTTACGAATACATGTTTAGTTGACGGACAAAACTTTGCCAATTATTGTGCTTGAAGAATCTCGGTAAAACAATTCTGTGGGGAGACAACGTGAGTAGAGCCCCACGCGAGAAAGATGCCGACTGACTTGGAGAATTCGGTTGGATTCGGCACTGTAAACGTGGTGCCCTCGGCTGACCACGCTATCAAACCCGTCTTGGCGATTTCCTCATCCTCCAACATAGAGTACAGCTTGCCGACAAACGCCGCCTGAGTCTTTGGGGGAGGGTTGACGAGCGGCTGACCCGTTGAAAGGTTGAAGCTCGCCTGGGGACTAGAATGCCGCGAAGGAGGGTTGGGATTGACATGTTGGCGACTGGCGATGGACGATTTAGAGGTGGAAGCGTTGGAATGTAAGCCTGTAGATGCCGACGTTCTGTCGCTGTGTATGTCACTTTCCCCAGCCGGCCACGTCGACGGGAATGACGGCTGTCGTCGGTGTTTGGGACGAGCAGTAGAGTGGTTTGAGGCAGAACCATTGAACGGCCGGATTGAAGGCATCTCCTGGCCAGAAAGCTCGTCGCCGCCAGCAGAACTCGCGGGAGAGGACATTGTCGAGGCAGTCTGGAGAAATTTTGAAGAAGTACCGGTGTTAGGACCATCTCCGTCGGTATGAGCATTCGTCTGCGAAGACGACCGCGACCCCTCGTGGGAAAAGCCGTGCTCTTGCTTCTGCTTCTTTTCTGAATCGTGGCCCGACCGAAGCGACAAACGACGTTTCGATGGCGTCTCGCTGGGCCGACTTTGCTCGAGCGAATGTGACATAGTGGAGGGGAGGACGGAAGGACCTGGAACGGAAGTGTTTGGCGAGACGACTTCGAATGATGACTAAAAAAGCTATAAGCCAGTCGCTCAAGGTATTGAAGATCACTCACAATGTACGAGACCGACTTCCTTTCGTCTCAAAGTATGGTGTTGTCGGATGTCGGACGTTGTTGATCTGAGCTTGCGAGAGTGCTGATCAATGACTGTGCCGCGCTTTCGCCATCAGCCATCGCACCCAACAGGACCACCAAAGACGACACACAAAGGCATCCAACAATGACGATTGAGCAACTCACCAACTTTATAATATATAGTTTGACGAATCGTCGAAAGAAGAGATAGAAGAATGTTGGAACAATGCGAGATGGTGTTGAAATGCTGTTTACCGAGTTGAAAGATAGCAGTCTGGGCGGACACGATCGAGTCCACGTTGGTCTCGATTCAGAGGCCGGTTCGGACGGGTGTATAGTTGTGAGTGGATGCGTCGGGTGGTGATTACGGTTGTGCTTAACACTTGAGGCGTGATCTGTGCGGGAGCAAAACCTCGCTCAGCATGCTGGACACCGACGGATTGGGGTTTCGGACCACCCATGATTGGACACACCTTTGAGTTACAGAAATGGTTCAATTCTCCTCGCCGAGGACTTCCCGCGCGCCTTGTCGAGAGTGTCGTGAAAGCTTTCTATAATAAGTGATGCAAGACGTTGTCGCAGCGACTGTCGTATGCGCGTCTCAGACTAAGACAGGTAGGTGGTGCACGCCTAGGCTGCGGTCGAGGGGAGCGTTTCTACAAAGGCGTGTCCAGTTAGGTACCCGTTCGGAAAGATATCATGACAAAGACTCTGGATAGAAAAGGAACGAACCAGAAACAACAACTTCAAAGCTGAAAGCTCGAGCACGCACACCTTCACTTGAAACTGACGAGTTCCTGCTTTGGTCGAGTGTCGAGCGCCACCCTCACCTGTGTTATTCGGTCGCTAGGTAGTTGTCGTGTGGTCGACCTGTTCGCAAGTTACATAAAAACCGAGTCGCGGGCGAGCCTTGCAAGGCGATGCTTTCTTTGGTGAGAGCGGGTAGATGCGGCGATGGGGGCGTAGAAGGATATGATCAAACGAGGCTGACTCGCTGTGCCGAAAGTGGGGGGATGGCGGGTCAAGGAACAAGTATAGCAGGGACGGCCTGTGCTTGCTTGTGAAAGGAGAAATAGATACCGTTACACGCTCTGCTTTGATCCAGGCAGCTTGGACTGCTTTGCTCTACTGGCGCTGTCGGCGAGAGTCGTCTGAGCAGTTGGCGAGTTGCCGGGAGGACGCAAACAGTGGCACTTGCGTTGAGCTTCGGTATACGAAAGGAGGGCAAGTCCGGGATATCGTCCCTGAAACGATCTACGCCTCACGGTTCCAGTAGGAAGGGACGAAAAGAGGATCGAGACGTGTGGAAATCTTTGCTCAACGCTGGACGCCCTGAGTGACCTGCCGAGAAGGAAAGAAGAGCTTCTCCGCGAGCGGACGGCTTGGTGAGCTTATGTGGACCGGGTTCTCGCTGAGGTGCTAGTCGCTGCCCTTCCTTCCCGTTCGGATCAGATGGGTGTGTATGGGAGTGTGGCGGTGAGCGGCGGGGTTGATCGAAAGCGCGTGGGGAGGGAGAGGGTAAGGGAAAAGGCGTGTTCCATCAGCTCATGCCAGGGCAACAACGCGAATATCCCGAGAGTACTCACCTTGTTACAGAGTGCGATTGTGCAGGCGCCGGTGGTATAGAGGCTCTCTTTGGAAGCCCGCAAGATGGCGGTTTTGGCACGGGAAGATGGAAGAGAAAAGAAACAGGCTGATTAATCCCAAAGTAAGCGATGGTGGTTTGTCGATTTGTCGTCGGTAATATTGCTCTCGCCTGGTTACGCTTACTACATATTTATTATCACCTTGTGCTCCACGCACTTTTCCAGAATTTCCAGCCTAACGGTACGGGCGTATCTCATGGATCAAAAAAAGACCCGTGCCGACCCGAAGTCATGGATTTACGAGTTCTGAAGAATTCTGAGGAGGTTACAGGAGCAAAACTAGGGCCATCAGGGCGTCGGGTCTCAGTTAGACCCTGGGTTGTGCCAGACGCGCTCCGCGCGCTCATCGCCGTGTTCATCGACAACGAGTCATGTATTGCTTGCATAGGACCTGGCCCCCAAAGAGCGATGGGTGTTGGATACACATGGCTCCCATCTCGCGAGTTGAAACTCCAACGGCTGGTGCGGACACCTGGCGGGCTTGATGTGTCTCCGCAAATCATGTTCCTCGCACGCCGTCGTTTATGGAAGCCATGATGGCCATGAGCCTCCCGAAGAACTCAGCCGTGTACGTAAGCACTGCAAACTTCTAGGCTGCCCGCTGCACCCACTGTGCGTTCTTTCGCTGATATTACTGCTCCATGATAATCTATGTACCATGTACCTAATTTCATAAAAGCCCATGGCCCAGAATGTACAGGAAGTGCAGGAAGAACGGCGTTGACGTACTCTTCACGGCACAAAACACCTCGAGCACATCCGTCCACATCCGTCAACCTCGATGATGACGCCGTGATCACCATCTTCCCTTGACGATTTGCTCGGGCACTACTTCATCTTGTCCGTGGTGTCCGTGGGCCGTGATGAGGGGGGTATGAGCTATGTCCAGCTGCTGCAGGCCCTGCAGGATCCCCAACCCGATCTCATACCCAGCGGCCCCGAACTCAGCTCGGCGTCATGGCGAGTCGACGGAAGAGGCCCCTCACTTCTAGCTCCTGGCGGCTGGCGGCCCTGGCGGCCTTTCACCCCTTCTCGCAGCAAGTGCAACAAGGCAAGAGGGCGAGGGGAGGGAGTACATACGCGCTACCAAAATGCGCTTTTCACGTTATGATTTTTGGTGTTTCCTGATTGGAACAATCCGTCATCTTTGCCGTGTTCCATTCCTTCCTTGCCCTTCCGCGCGATCCGCGCACGTCGCACTCCTGCATGACCGGATCGCTGGAACAGAACAAGAGAAAAGAGGCGCAGACGGACGAATTAATAAGGAGAATTTCCCGCTCTTGTTGGACATGCCCACATGCATGTGTCCTGCAGGGTTTTTTGACTCCTCCTGAAACAGGTGCAAGCCCAAAAACAGAAAGCCGAGGTGCCGTGCCTGAACTGTACCTCTGTTCATTCGGCCTGCATTGCCTGCTGAAGCTGCCATATAAAAAAAAAAAACGCCTTTCAAAACTCTGTCCTCTTTTGATTCCTTCTTTCTCATTCTCAGCTTCCATGGCGTCCAGGGTTGGGTGAGACAAGTGAATGCGCGCGCGCGATCACTTGCGATCACTCGCTTTGCGAATATGTGATCGTTTCTTTTGATGTCTAACCGTTTTTGACGTGCCCACTTTCTCTGGTTGGTCTCTCCGTCGGTGCAAGAACCTGTTTCACATTCTTTCCTCTTTCTTGTCAATTTTTCTTGTCTATGCTACCGGACTCGGTGTCTCCACAGCGCCACTTTTCTTGCAATCAGCCAATCGCTCTTCTCATTATCTCTACATACCATTCGCCGTTCGCCGGCCTCGTCGGTAATGTCTCACATAACGCATTTCACTTTTCACCATCATTTTGTGTAGCTTCCATCACCATGATGTTAGTGCAACAATTGCACTGCCTCTGGCCAGTGGCCGCTGGCCGGTCACAGGATTTGTACATACAGCACGGCGCTGGGTATGCTCTGATCCCGTCACATCCTATGTACTAATAGGTTTCATCCTCCTATGTACTACGGAGTACTACGGCTTTCTACATGAATCAATAGGCTGATTAATGCCTTGTTACAATCACATAGGCAACCTGGTGGGCCATTGGTACATATTCAGCTCCCACTCATCATCCAACTTAGCTTGCCCTTCAGATCAATATTGTGGCATGGGAAAGGGGGCGAAAGGCTTGGGGACGGGGGAAAAAGGAGGTGGGGAGGTGGGGATTGGGGACTGAGGACTGGTGGAGAGAGGCAGGGGCAGGGCACAGGAATGTGCAGATGGCGGGGAAGATGGAGGGGGCCGTCAAGGGGGGAGTGGAAAGAGGTGTGCCTCATCCGACTCCGAGGTATATCGGTCCTCGGCCTCCTCGGGCTCCTGTCATGCCGAACAAACAAGCGACTCGCGATGGCGATTTCGCGATTGACGATGTGCCGCGCGAAACGGCGGCGCGATGCGCAGCTGACCATATCTCTAACATGAGATATCAATTAAGTGTGGAACAAGATGACGATTGACTGAGACTTGTCGGCCTGTCAATTGAGGCAAACAGCCGTCATCCGCACATTCGTCACTCCGTCATGCCGAGTCGTTGAGCTATGAGTGGAGCGGGGTATGTCTTGGAGTATTGCGGTGTGGTCTGCAGCCTGCAGCCGAAGAGCATGTCATTGAGCTCAGGTTTCCGAGTCTTCGATCTCAAATTTCGACCTTGCGTAGAAAAGTTACATCTACTTCCCAGGCCTTCATGATCTATTAACTGGTGAAGGATAGAGGGGATAACAACGTAAAAGTACAAGCTCTTTTCTGCTGTGCTTAATCAAGTTATCCATATAGCCACAAGTATTTCTTGCACGTGTACCTGTGCTTTCATGGATCGCAGGATGACGTGAGATGGTAAGGCTTTTTGAGACACTGATCAACTTTCTGATGGAGACATCCCTGCTACTTTTGTCTTCTCTATACCCGAGTACAGCACAAAGCGAGCGACCAGTCGCACCCTCCTGCATGAGCTCATCCATGGCGTACTCACTCATTTACTCCCACCATCGATGTACGTACGTACAGAAAACCATCTCATCGTTCAAACGTTGGACGATAACGTTGTGCGGTGCTATATCTGTTATCACTGGTTCTGGCACGGCAGTGAGGCACCCCACAATGACCCATACGTACCTTCCTGATCTGTGCGGTTCTCACGCTCTCGCGTCAATCCAGTAAGTTCCTTAGTTCCCCGTTAAACCCTTTTCCCGTTCCATTTAATAATCGGCCTGATTCGTTCTTTGATTAGCGCCATTCTTTTTGAGTCCTGAATCTGGTACGTATCCTGGACCCCGCCACGGCCGCCGCGCCATCTTGTGTATTTTAGTGCAAGATTCCACCGGCTCATCAGCCACGTCGTCAGCCTTGTCACGCCCTTTGTTGTGCCCAAGCCGGGCTGGGTTTGCCTTGCAATTTCTCCTAGTCACGAACATGATGATCGAACGTTGTTCTTGTCGGCGTCATCTCGCCCGCAAACTTCCGCAGCCCGCAAACAGCAGAACATCATTGAGAGTCTTGAGACTGTGATGGATGGTGGAAAGACTTTTTTAAAAAAAGATATCCTTGCGAATATAGCCCGATTGCATAATGAGGCTGAAACAGAGTTCAAGCTCGTGGTTCTGGGCGGTTTTGGGTTTCAATAAAGCTGGTTGCGCTATTGCGCTGTAGATTGGAAGAATGGGGGAATATGACTTGAAGTGTCGACGAGTAAGGGCTCGGAGATTAAAGATTCAATTGTTATCAAGTGTCACCCAGGAAGCCCGAGAAACTTCCCAGCCACATTTCCACGTCTCTTCATTCGTGACCCTTTCGCACTTTCTGTACATAGGTGTAACCCTTTCGGGCTTCGGGACCCGATTTTCTTCTTTTCTTTTCCCTTATATTTATCCTCCTTGGCCTCCTTTTGTAAACTAACACCTAGTCTAATTGATCTAATCGAAGGTAGCACACTGAAAACGCTGCTGGTTTTTCTTACCTCTCTATCTCTCGATTCTCTCATGCATCCCAGGAGACACTGGCAATACATGAATCACCACGCTTCGCTCCTTCGCTGTGTGTGGCTCTGTATTCTCTTCGGTATCCCACAGCGGGGCCCCTGGGCATGGGCAATATGGAGCCGGGAGTCGAGACAGACTACTGCCCCAGGCACGTTACGTAATCACGGGAACAATCTCTGTGTTCCTAGGCCTCGCTCGGTGTCCGAAATCGAATGTACCCCGCCGTGCCGCCGTCGATCCTGGCCTTCTCCATCGCACCGCACAGAGCTCGGCGCTTTTTACCCACGCTTCAGGCTGCAGCGGAAGGCGGTGCAGGCTACAGGCGGGAGCCGCTCCGCCGTGGCCGCCGTTAGCCATCCGCCGTCCTCAGCCAACCCCTTGTGTCTTTTATCACGTCCTTGGCTCGTCGCTACCACGGCTTCTGATTGTGAGAGAGAACGTCTCGTCAGCAATGGGTGCATCTCGTCAGCACGTCAATTAACATCAAATCGCAGTATCTACAGTACTTGGCAGAATAGGAGATCACTGAGAGTGCACTGCCACTGCGGTATTCATTCGGTATGTTGTCAGCCGTTGCCGCCCACTAGTCGAAACTCGCACCAACCAAACAACCAGCTCGTCTTCTCCGATGGCCCACTGCCTGAAGCTAAGACATGACTGAGCTGCACTACAAGCCCTCACTTGCCCCCGGGTCCCCGGCTGGCCTCCGCTGACTGGCATCTGAGCCGCAATGGGGAGGCTCAAGTGGGCAAGGGCCAAGGAGTCAGACCCAAGAGGGGAAAGAGAGACAAGAAGAGGGTAGGCTGAAGGGATACCACGGCTCGCGGTCAGGTCCGGCCCAGGACTCCAGGTACGTTCATTAAATCAACCCCATCGGGCGCTACAAGAGGGAAGTATCGGACAGTGCAACTGGGCCGCAGGTACGCAGGTAGGTAGCAGTTATGTGAGAGAGGGCACAGATATTGCAATATACAGATGTCGTGTCGAAGTGTGCAGGTTCATTGAAGAAGACATCATCCTTCGACTTCACTCTCGGCCTCCTCGGCAGCTCCGCTACTGCGTGCATGCATGGTCAAGTTGCCTCCGAGGCCTCCGAGACCTCCGAGGTCTATGGCCTATGGAAGCTGTTCAAATATGCCTGAAAGTCCGATCTAGGAACACTCCAGACAGGGGGTGTGAGCCACCAAGCCTTCGGGGGTTTCATGTTGTCATCGGTCTTCATTCTACGCTCGGGGGATGGGTGGGGTAAGATGCTCATGTGAGACATCGCTGGTTTCCAAATTCTGCGGGCTCTGTTTTCGCATTCGTCGGCTCTACTGTACTAAGAGTACTAAGACATGTTTTCATTGCCTGAGACCTCACCGTTTTCAAAGCGTCTGGAGAGTGAAATCCTCGCGTTTGTCTCTGCCTCTCGGGGTTCTGGCCGACCTTTGGAACGCCAAAACCAAAGTACTGCGCTCGCTGGTCCAGCAGACTAATCTGACTAAGTAGGTCCGGTATATTCCTCGGTCCCCTACCCTGCTCGTCGGCATCTCATCAGAAATTACATCATTCTCCACGATCCGTCCAGCAATCGAGGACAGCCAAAATATCATACCAATGCCCGAGCCCGGGCTCTGTCCTTCTAGTTCCGACTGTTCAACACCGCAACTTTGGTCGATATTTCGCTTCGGGCAACAAGTCAACTTTCTCATGATTATCACCATCATCACGCCAGAAGAAGATGTTGATGCAACCTCGTCTTTTCCTGTACTCTTGCTTTTTTCTACCTCGAAGACCTCAGCGTGAGATGACGACTTCGACAACTCGCTCCCTCCTGCTGTTTCTTGGGATCGGAGGCCTCTCTCCCTTCAGCTTCTACCCAGCTTCCACCGCTCTCGAGCCTCAATAATCTGTCTTCAAGACCAGCCAGTGGACGTGTGATTGGTCGCTGTAGGCCTCGGACCACCGCAAGATTTTACGCGACCTGCAACTGTACTCTTCCCCATCCATCATCATCAGCCAGAACATTTATCAACCTGGGAAGCCTCAGAAACCCAGCCGACATCGTCGAGTGCCAACCATCCGGGACAGGCCTTTTGTGAGCAGTTATGCATTACGTGGTTGATGAATGTCCTCATCTTCCAATTCAAGCGCGTTTTATACGTTTCGTACAGTACTCGTAGATGTACACAGGCAGAAAAGGCACCAGGACCAATCGCCCCTTCCTGTCTCTTTCCCCCTCCAAATCTCAAAGTAGAGAATCAAAGAGAACACCGAGAAGCCATCACCTCCGTCCACCTCCCAACTCCCCTCTCAGAGCCTCGGAATACCCCGGCGGTAAACTACCTCCATTCCCTGCCGCAGCCGCAGCCATGGCCGCAGGTAGAGGCCCCATATCAACTTCCCTCCCGGGTACTTTGATCCTCTCTTCCGCCCTTCCAATATCACCTGCACGACCATTGCGCGGAAGAGATGCCGTGTAAGGAAGGGATACGAGTTCGGTTTTGTATGCTAGTTCGGTGGACGAGATATTGCCTGCCGCTGTCGCCCACGCCGTTGGTGTGGGTGATGTTGTTCTTTTGGGCGGAGGGGAGACAGGTGAAGCACCGTTCTGAGATGAAGGGGGAGAAGTGACGTGAAGGGAATGCGCCGATATCTGGCTTGAGGCAATACCCGGTCGGGAACCCCTGGACGACTGATAGCTCCCCGCAGTTCCCGGCCTGTCATCTCTGTCGTTGCCGTGCCCACTGACTTGGGGAAGGGGTGTGCGAGGAAGAGGGCGGAGTGTATACGTCCCGCCCGTCGATGATCTGCTTTGCGACACCCCAGGTGTAGACAGGGCATAAGCCGATTCGCGTTGAAGCTTGTTCAACCCTCCGTTTCCGCCAGAAGCGCGAGAACCCCAGGAGAGATACTTGTCTTCCAACAACTCTCCCCTCTCGCCTTCGCCTTGTCCCTGTCGATTACCTCCCCTCACATGTCGCGGTTCGAGTGGCTCAGGCGCCGGCTCGACATACGTTCCTTCCTGCGAATACACACTCGGTGCTGTCGTGCTAGGCGCAGGGGTACGGAACGGTACGCGGCCGAGTGTGTTTGGTCCGCGAGAAGGACCGGCGGAGGGGATGTAGGAAGTAGCGTTGGACGTCGGTGGGGGTGGGACGAGAGTCAAGAATGGACGGGAGTCGTGCGCGGGGGTAGAGGATGCGAGAGCAGGGTATTGGGGACCAGTGGCTGGTTGAGCAGGGCGGGACATCTGTGCTTCAAACCCCCCGCTTCTGGGTGTAACCAAAGGCGCAGAAAGAGGCGCATGCAGACTCTCGCGCACCGAACCTCCTCGCGAATGGGGTCCATCTCTTCTCGAAGACGCACTGGAGCAGTCCGAATCGTCATCATCGTCCGACTTTTCCGCCAAATCCACTTTTACAAGCGCTCGTCTCATCGATCTCATCGAAGTCGTCGCCGTGGATACCGTGGTGCAAGTCGATTTTTGAGAACGAGATCGAGTTTGTTGAGGAGGTTTGGAATAGTAGAATGAAGACCTTCTCCCGAGCCCATCGGCATCACCGTCGCCGTATTCCAACCGCGAATGATCCCCCTTCTTGCGCCAGAACAGCACCCAAGCGAGGAGAAATACCAATCCGAGGCCAACAGCTCCACCAGCAATGCCACCGGCTATGGCGCCTACCGACCTGGTGCTTTCGCTGGCTTCCTCTGAGTTTACGCTTTCAGAGGCGGAGGAGACGGTGGTGCCTAGTAAAATAGGCGACGATGCATTGCTGAATGAGGAAGAAGAAAGGGTGGAATTGATGACGGCATAGTCGAATCCGAGTGACTTGGCTTCGAGGTTGGTAAACTTGAGGGTGTGGGGAGAGTCGGGGAGGTTGGAGATTGTGTACGCTGCTATCTGTCAGTCCTGACTATCTGGCTATCGGGAAGCGGCTTACTGGGCACCTTGTAGACCGTCTCTGGCCAACTTGAGTTGAATGTCTCTTCTTCTCCTCCATCCGCACTATATGAACGCCGTCAGTCTTTCTACCCTGCCCCCCGAGGTCAATAGGTGCTTACCTGACTGAATATTGCCCGTGGTTCGGTCCTACAGCAGCGAACACCTGTATCGACGACCCATTGAAACTGCACCTTGATCAGCATCTGTTTCTGAAGCTCAAAATCTCAACTCCAGGAGAGGAAGATAGTGAGAGGAAAGAGGCAAGACTCACTTAAGCGTAAATCCAGAACCCTGGGTGGTAGAAACATGCTCGGTTTGATTATAAGACGCACTATCCCCATCCCCGTCTGGTGCCCAGGCGTCGTCGTAAGTGACGGCCGGGCTGGTATCGTCCAGTATCGTTGTAAAGACCTGTTCTTTGTCGTCGCTAGGTGAAAAGTCAGCTCGAGATACAGAGAAGGGGCAGAGAAGCGCACAGAGAGGAGTGGAATACGATGTAGTCAATATCCAGCCAGAACCCAGTACCGTCGTCGGTTTGTCCAGTCGTTTTTGATGGGTAGTTCGTCACTGTCTGCTTTCCCGTCAGCCTCCTTCCCTAGCCCTTACCACGGAACACAGCATCAGGGCTTACCATAGTATGTTCCTTCTCGGCAGATAGGTCCACCGCCTTGAACAACCTCTGCCCATACACACTTCCCTCTGCCCAGCCACTAACAAACTGCTCATCACCTCCATCAATGATGACGCCAAATATCCCGTGATTTGGCCTCTTGGCGCCATAGAGGGAGACGGTGGTGGCGTTAAATTTGACCGTCAGAGAGTCGCCCTGGGGGAACACACTGTCAGCTTATTTCCTCGATTTTCATAGAAACGGGGCACATACTTCGGTACTGGTAGCGTGGAATGTAGAGAAACTGTATTGGTCTGTGGTGGGGTCAGGCCATGTCGTCCCTACGCACAATATCCAGTCAGCTTTGTGAACACCATGCCCGAGGTTCTTGAAGACGCACCGTTCCTGTGGTCTGTTATCCACCCGCTCGAGTTCGAGCGGTACACGAGCTGGGGGGAGGCGTCGTCAATCTGAACCCCATGGTCAGTGGACTGTTGCTGAGATGGAGAAAGAAGAGGACGTACAAAAATGTCCATTGTTGTTACGGCAGAGGGCTTAACGCGTCGAATTCGGAGATCGCCGAAAAGTAATGTAGCAAGTCGCGTAGTTGGTGAGGGTCGTCCTCGAGAGCGTCAAGCTGCTTTATATCCGTAGAGTGCGAGACGATAAGACAATAAGAGGATTATAGAGTAAACCTAAAACCGTCGAAACACCTTGACGATCTATTCTGAAATCCAATCGCCCGTCGATCTCACGCCACTCAAACTATGCTGGAAGCAGATGCGTGTGAGCAGATGCAGTTGGCGGCTGATGGGAGGTGGGGATGGGTTTGAGAATACCGCCGAGGGGTGGGTAGCGTGTTTATGTAGACGGGTAGGGACGGTGAGTGATCTGGTGATTGATTATGTGGCGATTTGATGGGAATCAACTCTCTCGGTTCTTTCAGAGCGCGCGCTCGCTGCTCGCTGCTGACTCCGGGGGCGAGGTGTGGAAGGGATACCGGATCGAGCTGTAGTGCCAGAAGAAAGGCATCCAAAGGCCATGGTAGGATTCATCCCGTCTTTCTGCTCTCGGAGGCCAAGGAGGGAGCGTCGGAAGAGCGAGTCATACCAAACGCGCAGTCTTCTGTTGTTGTTGCCAAGCGCTATCTCCTCCAAGCTTCCGCTAACCCCCCCCTCCCCCTAGATCATCTGACTCTCTCCTATTCTCCCGCTCAACACGATCACCCAGCAACATCCTCTCGAGTTTCGCAGACAAGCCAACAAATGCTCATGGGACGGCGTGAATACCGGATTGTTTGTGCCACACGCGCCGTTCCTGAACACATTGTGTGGCTTACTCCAGCAGATTCCGCGGACACACACCACTGCTACGTATTTGATCCTTTGGGTTCCTTTGGGAGAAAGGTGAGGTACCACCGGAATCTCATGCAGCGAGTACACATACGAGTACTTCAAGCCACCTGCTTTATATATATATATCTATGCGTGGCGCGTCCTCCGTTGTGCTTCTTGGATCTTGGCGACCATACTTGCTTGCTTCCTCGACCATCTTGCTCGGCTTGATTGATGCAGAGACGTATAGCCAAGTCAATCGCTTGGTATTGATTGAGTGCTGTGTGCAAGCAAATGTCCAAGCCCGCAGAGCCCATCGCCGGGATCGTTCCCACAACTCATGCTTCTCCCGAGGAACACGTAGTCAATGATCTAAACCTGTACACAGACAGCATGGAACATAGAGATCAACGCGCTCATCCCACCGAGAAGCGAGGACCGAAAAGCGAAGAGCGAAGAGCGAAGGAGGAGGTTCGGGGATCCGGGAGCGAGAAATGTCTCGCGCGTTGACTGATGATGACGCGAATTCTAGCCTAGTCTCAGACGCTTCGACAACATGTATATTTACACGAACCTGCACAGCAGCAGACATCACCCGATATGCAGGGAATTAGTATCATATCATGAAGGAAAGGTCATTACGGGTCCTAGGACAAAGGAACCAAGGGTATGTAGATTATCCGCTGAAGTATCATCAAGTATGCAAGAGCAAGAAACCGCTAAATGAAAAAGAAAGACGTTGTCAAATCTAGTGCTGTCCACGAGGCTGAACAGCTTGGACATACTCCGGCGGCTGCCTATCGCCCCCACCCTGTTCTGCAGTAAAATGAGAAAGCGCCGAGAAACTGCCCATACTACCCATTCTCGGAAACGTCGGCGCACCCCCAGATCCACCCGTACCAGCTCGCGACTTCTCGCTCAACTGAGCTGTACTGACAGTCGCCGGACCCACGCCCGGCCCCTGCTGCATGAGGGTCTCAGAAGCACCCCCCGTACCGGTGAAGGGCGTAAAAGTCGCAGGCATCGCGCCCCGAGACGATTGGTGCGTCGAACGGGGGTAGGACGAAGCGTTGGACCCCGGGGGAGGAGGGATAGACGGGAAGAAGGGACTGTTGGCGGTGGCGTCGTTCACCAAGGTAGCGTCTTGAGAACCAGGGGACAACGGGGCAGAGCTGTTGTACAAGAAGGTACCGCCGCCGGAGGAACTGCCGCCACTACTGGGAGGAGGGTGATATGACCTTTCGTCGTAAGGGTGCTGTTGCTGTTGATTGGGATGGTCAACAAAGGGGGTGACAGGTGTGCGGGGGGCCCCTCCGGACCAAAGCATAGACCTCGGTGTATGCCTTCCCGCACTTCCTCCGGAAGATCCCAAATCAAGCATATTCCTCGAAGACGATGTCGTTTGTCTCGAGTGAGCACCAGCAGCGCCGGGGGCATAATCAAAATAAGATCCTTCCCTAGACCCGTCCTCGCTGAACTGGGAGGAAGAAGCAGAGTTGCGTCGACGGCGGAAGAACCAGAGTGCTAGAACGGCTAGAAGAGCGAGGGTTACGACACCGCCGGCAACGCCGCCAGAGATGGCACCGACGTTGGTCTTCGTCCCGCCGTTCGTGTCTTCGGAAGCGCCTGCTACGACGGCGGAAGAGGAGGAAGAAGAAGTCGAGCTTGAGGCCGTGGTCTCACCAGCACCGTTACTGAGGTTGGACGTAGAGGTGGTAGAATCGGATCCGGCGGCAGTGGAAGCAAGCGTCGAAGCCACGACGACAGAAGTAGAAGAAGCAGGCGAGGAAGTTGAGTTGACCATAGCGTAATCGAACGACAAGACCGCTGTGGTGCCCGAGCCGAGATTTGTGACTGTCACCGTATGATCACCTTCGTCCAGACCCGAGGCTGTATAAACTGTCATCGTTGTCAGCCTCTTCTTATAACTAATGGCGTTGAGTGGAAGAACGGGAGAGGTAAGAAGAGCTTACTAGGAACTTGATAGACGGGTGTAAAGAAGTTTGAATTGAACACTTGGGCTTCGGCACCGTCGAGCGAAACAGAGTAGTTGCCGTGTACGTCGTTCAGAGATGCGACGAGCTGGATACTCGATCCTGTAAACCTGTCCTCTTCACATCAGCCCATATTCCCCATCCTGTTCGGGGGCCGGCAGATTGAAGAAGAAGAGAAGACCTACGGAACAGTCATAGTAGCCCTGTCAGTAGAAGTAGTATGGTCCGTCAAGTTGAAGAACTCGACATTCTTGTTGGAATCGACATATGTGTTCCAGCTGGTGTATGTGATGACTGGGTTGGCGTCGTCAATTATAGTGGTGTAAACTTGGCCTGGGGTGGAGGACGTTGCTTGGGAGACAAGGTCAGTCTCTGGGAAAAGGAGAGTAGAAGAAGGGCGCGTACTTTGGATGTAGTCGATGTCCAACCAATGATTGCCCGCTACAGCTGAGGTACTGGAGTTGGGGTAGTTTGTAATCGTCTATAATCCGTCCATCAGCTTTCAGAGTGAATAGTAAGAGAAATCAAGAGGGGGGCAACGCACAACAGTATGTTCCGAATCGTCCAACCCGGTCTTTGAGAACAAAACTTGCTTGAAAAGCGTGGTTGCTGAGTACCCATCAGACATCAACACGTCCCCGCCGTCTACCGAGACTATCTCGCTGTCAGCGTCCTTTCCTCAACCCGAGACCCTCTATCAGAAGCCCAGAAGAGAAAAGACGTACCTCCATAAATCCCATGATTTTCACGCTTCGCTCCATAGATGGCAACAGCCGAGCCATTGAACTTGTACACCATGTAGTCGCCGTCGCCGTATGTGCCGTGGAAAGTGCCTTTGCTGTAGGATGATACCATGGATGCTTTATCTTTTGGCAAATCAGCTTTGCGGGGGTCGATAGAGGAGGGGAGGGAAGGACACACCAGAAGTATGGTCAACGATCCAGCCGGAAGCGGATCCGGCGGCGGCATAGTATGCGATCTGGGGGGAGACGTCGTCGAGCTACAAGATCAGCGTGTGTCTCTGTGAGGATGATTGGAAACTTACTTGTATGTTCATGCTGGGCCAGCAGTGACGTGTTACAGAGATAGAGAGAGCGAGAGAGCGATAAGTAAAGGTAGATCACGTAGCACCCTGGGAGGGGGAAGGAGGGGGCAGTGGCACGCGAGATCGAAAGCGAAGGAGGGTGCGCACTCGAATGGAAACTCGAGCCTTTGGGTCGCTGTCGATAGGGCACTAAGGGTATAGATGATGCTGTAAGGTATCCAGAAGAGAAGAGAACAGAAGAAAGACGCGAGATATGCCCCATGAGACTATACCGGAGTAGTGCAGCATCGCTCTACCCCCGTCCTCCGATGGAAAGAGAGGAGTGAAGGGCCCTGTGTTTGCTACACACAGCGCCACCCCAAGGCACATGTCATGATGGGTGGGTGTTTCAGGTGAACATGATCGACTTTGATTGAGTATAGGAGTGTGTGCAGAGATGCCGAGTCCAGGCTGCCGATTAATTGGCCATGGTAAGCGTGAGAGCAGGTGATGATGTGGTAGTTTCTCGACGGACATCTCCGCCCCGGCCATGTGCCATGATGGCAGCGCATGGAGACCCAAAAGCAATGCAAGGTATGATATTATGAACCCAGAAGACCAAGACAATATGCTACGATTGCACCGAGATAGAAGCAGAACAAGCGTATAAGAACGAAACCCTCGATCAACTCGGTACGCGCGTTGAGTGACAAGAAGTCCGTGGCACCAAGCCCCGATCCATAAAGGGCTATCATGGCCTCCCACTACGAGACATATCTCCTGGTAAGGGCCGTGTCGCTTGCGCATAATCCGGAGGCAACCCTCCCCTTCCTCCTACTCCTTGGTCCGGCTGGTCCGGTCCTTCCGACAACCTCAAAGCATTCCCTCCTCCGCCGCCCAACCCAAACCCTTGCTGGTATCCATCCCTCCCGCCTCTGGGAAGAGGCTCATGTTCTTCCGAAGCTCGAGAAGAAGCAGCATAGCTCGTCGGTAGCGCCGAAGGAGTATAAAAACTCAGCAGGTAGCTTGAGGCGTTGGATGTTGGTGGAGGTGGGACGTGCGCGAAGAATAAGGGAGAGGAGTCTTCTTGCTGGGGCTGGGGTGGGGATGGTGACTGGGAGTATGATTGGCGGGATGATGGGGTTGAGGAGGCAGTACCGGGTCTTGCGTAAACCTCAGCAATGGGAGGAGAAGGAGCAGGGTAAGAAGACATGAAAGGGTGCGTTACAGCATTACTGTTTCCCCGTCTTGCTTCCCTCATCCCACTCGTCCCAAGTCCACCGCCGGTGGATACACCAGGCCAAACTTCCCCAGCGCCCTGTCCAGGAGCAGGCGCCCACCCCGCATAGTAACTGTCTACTCTCGGCTTTTGTTGCTGCTGCTGCCGTCTACGGCGTCTCAGGAGCCAGAATGCAAGAAAGGTGAGGAGGGAGAGGGCGATGAGGCCGCCGACTATGCCACCTGCAAGGGCTGCCGCGTTGGTGGAAGATGAGGAGGAGTCTGAGGAAGCGCCTCCTATGGCCGTGGAGTTGGATGAAGAGGCAAACGAAGAAGGTGAAGGGGAAGAAGAGGAAGATTGATGCTCTGTGACAGTGGATGGATCTTCCCCAGCAGACGAAACGACCTTCGTAGTGGCCGATACCCCTGCCGATGAGGAAGGAGAAGACGACGTAGAGTTGACGACAGCATAGTCGAACCCAAACACATTCTCGCCACCGGTTCCGCCGCCCAGGTTGGAAAGTTTGATGGTATGGTTGCCTTCACCCAGGCCCGTGGCGGAGAACACTGTTTTTCTCATCAGTTAGGGCGAAGCAGAGATAGATATTTTAGAGGACGTACTGGGCGTTCCATAAATCAACTCCCAGTTCTCCGCATTAAACACCCTCGCATCACCTCCGTCGAGGGTGACAGAGTAATTGCCGTGGTCGGTGTTGACGCTGGCGAATAGCTGAATCGACGAGCCTGTGAATCTATCCTCCCCATTAGTCTCCAAGAGATGTGTTGATGGGGAAGGGGACGTACTGAAAAGACATCTCATCCCCAATCGTACTAGTGAGATGCTCTGTCAAATTGTAAAACCCTCCATTGCCGGAACCGAACGACGCCCAAGTATCCGAATACGTGATAATCACCGAGGTATCATCGATGAAAGTCGTTTGGAGCTGTGAACCTTCAGAAAGAGGGAGAGAAGTCGAGATGTAGTCAATGTCGAGCCAGTGGTCTATCCCCGCTGCGGCAGATGTTTGGTCGTTCGGTCTGTTTGTTATCGTCTGTTTTTCAAGTCAGCTCTGTGCTTCTTGGCGAGGGATGGAAGCTAAGGTCGCGAATGAGAGAAACACTTACTATGGTATGTTCAACAGAAGAATCCAATCCGGATCTGGTATACAAAGCTTGGTTGAATATCGACTTTTCCGAGTACCCGTCCGAGACGATTTCGGCTTCGTCGTCCAATATCACTATCCACCACATTAGCACCCTTCCTCTTTCCGTCTCTCCCTCGCAAAATATGTGCGTACCGCCAAAGCTTCCATGATTCGGCCTCTTACCACCAAACACCCCTACTTCCGTGCCGTTAAACGTATAGACGACGCGATCGCCGTCACCAAATGTGCCGTGGAATGTAGATTTGAGGTAGGAGGATGTATATGTATCCGGGTACGTCGTATCTAGACATCCTGTTAGTGCTTGTTTCGGAGTCGAAGAAGAAGGAGGAGAGACGCACTCAGGCCGTGGTTCACTATCCACCCGGAGGTAGATGATTCGCCGGTATAGTACGCGAGCTGGGGCGAGACATCGTTGATCTGTTGATCTGCCTTCAGCTTTCATCCCATGGACAAGCAGGAAAGGGACTTACAATGACTTCCATAGCCTTTGATAGATAAGATTACTTTGTTTGCTCGAGAAGATGGATGAGATGAGGAGACTGAGAAGTGACGGGCAGGGTTCAAGATTGAAGGGACAGAGGAAGGAGGGTCGGTCAATTCCAGCGGGCTGAAGGGGGTCTTGAGTTAGTCTGCGTTACAAGGGGACCAAATGAGGCTGTTTGCGAAGAAGTCATTGAGAGATGAAGGGGTGGTCAGTGAGCAAAAGCAAGAATCAGTGGATACACCTCGCCTCGACCACCCATGCATCGCGCGGAAATACTTAGGGTGGGAGGACGGTGAAATGAAAATCACACACCCACAACCCACAAGCAATCTGCTCCGGGAAAGCGGGGTAGCGTTCCGGTGGAGGTTCTCATTCAGGGCTGATGGCTGATCCAAGCCACGGCCCAAGCGTTTGCCCAAAGGACAGCGTGAAACACTGCGACGCCACAACATCAGCCACGAGGCCACGAGGGTCGAACTTTCTCTCGATCGCAATCTCTGATTTCCATCATACGCATGTGGTAGATAATAAAGCACTTCAGCGCCAATTCATTGTCCCCAAGTATATGATATAGCCTCTGCGGACTGCGTTCGATTTGCATACGGCTACTATACTCGAGTATGTGATCAAAGCGCAACCCCAGTATAATCTACACCTCCATCAGTCATTATTTCTTAACCAAGTTCTTGATTACTCACTATTAGAGCAATTAGAAAATCCAGCACCAGCCAGCGCATACGCCTGACTCTCGATAAACGCTTCGAGGCCACACAGACCCTGATCAGCCCCCCATGAGGTCGCACAAGCGTCAAGGTCTTTGAGCGGGAGTGTAGCGTCGTTGAGTATCATCTTGACATACGTTCCACCCGCCTGCTCCCATCAGTCAAGTCCTCATGAACCATAAATGACTCACAGAGCTTCCAGAACAAGACATCCGCTCAACGACCAACCTCGCCCCCATCGGCGCCATCACCGAGCTCTTCCACCTCCTCCCCTCATCAATCTCCTCCAACGTGATATTCCCACTATACGCCTCCTCAGGCCTTAAGAGCCCCATGGCAGTGATGATACTCTCGAGGGTGGTGTCGTGTCCAAAGTCGAGGTAGATGGGAGATTCGAGGGGGAAGGTGGAAGGGGAGGAGGAGAGGGTGGAGTTTATGGAGGCTACTTGGGTTGGGTAGGTGTTGTTGAGTCTTTAGTAGCTCGTGAGCTTGACCCCAATCCAGACCAAGAGTTGGAAGAGGTAGACATACCTGGCGATCATCTCGGTAACCCAGCCGGCACCTTTGATCGTCCCCAGAGGTCCTCCATAGCCCGCTTTGTCTACACCTATCCATCAGTTCTTCCTCTTGCACTTCTTCATTGAAGGTAAAGACAAATACCATTCTGAGTCAATTCAATAGCCCACTCGTACCCTTTCCACTCTTCCTCCGTAAACAGCCCGCAAATCGGAGACGGTCTCTGCAGCCTAAACGAATCAAACGGGCAAGCATTCATCAACCCCTGCACCTCTTTCTCCGTCAAATTGAGCCCCTCTGGTAAGAGCGGATTCAATCTCTCAAGAACTTTGGGGAGGAAGTAATCGTTGAATGTGTCTGAGGAGGAGTAAGAGACCGTGTCTAAAGCCGGGCAGTTGTGAGGGGAGAGGGTAGAGTTGAAGGAAGAGTCGGAGTCGGGGGTGATTTGCCAGGTAGAGCGGGAAAGGTAGTTGGGGCCGAGGAAGCCGGAGGTGAAGGATTGGGCGGTGTGGTGGACTCTTTCTTCGTCCTGTACAGTTCTTCTCAGTACAGGCTATGGGCAATGTGCGCGAGTAGACGGGGACTTACGGTTGATCGGACTGGGATGTTGTCTACCCCGGTCCAGTTGAAGTATGCATAGTCCGGAAGAAGGCTCTTATACCTGCTAGAAGTAGATGTCAGCATCAGGGGGAACAGGTTGAGAGGATATACTTTTGGAAAGCGACGCCAGCAGCAAAAGCCGTCGCCGACCCCAACGGCAAGAGATAAGCAGTCGGCTCTGTCCACGTCCATGTCGATAGGTACTTGAGATTCTCATCATCCCTACACCACCATCAGCTTCCCAACCTACACCCACCACTCAGCTACTCACGTTGCCCAATCCCAATCCCCAGCAATCTTCTCAGCAGCAGCCGCAATCCCCTTCTGCTTCTTCCCCGTCGCTTCCCTCTCCCCATGCCGCATATACACCTGCACCATATCCAGAGAGCACTCCTCAGGTAGATCAGAGGAGGGGATGCCGTGAGCACCGGGGGAAGGGTGCCATGGGGAGAAGGTGGAGAGGTGGGTGAAGGGGGTGGAAGGCCAAGAGGAGGTTAGGTATTCGATTGGGGATGTGGATGTGGATGTGTTGGAAGAGGAAGAGCGGGTTCGGAGAGGGGCAGTGGGTAGGGCCAGGATGGAAGGGAGGAGGGGAAGCAGGAGTATAGCAAGCATGGCGCTGTATGAACTGTGTCCGAGTCAGTCTTTGAAAGGTGTCTGAGGCGGTCGGTACTCACAGTCCACTTGGAAGCTCGTGGGTGAGCCGAGTGAAGTCGATAGTATCCTGTGGGAGGGAGTGTTTGCCTCGCCTTTATACAATACTTCCCCGTCCGCTACATACCCATGAAAAATCCAGGGTGAGTGCTCAAGGTCCAAAGGTGAAGGCCCGACGGCCGATGTCGAATTTCGGACAGACGGTGAGTAGACGTCCAACATTTGTCCATATGATCCATATGGAAGTGTATGTGCATACACGTGCACGGGTTAGTTGTTCTGTTAGACCAGTTACTGGCTTTGGTAAGCGTAAGCGAGTGTTCTTTTCGCGAGGTGTTGCCGTAAGGAACGTGGGTTCCGGGTGGTGGCGAATGGTGAGCCGGGTGTGATGGGCAGCGGTGAGGGTACTTGTGGCAGCAGTGCTGTGCTGGATGGGAATAGCATGGCGAGAAAGAATCAAAATGGAGAATGAAAGCCAGATGGATGGAAATCAGACTGAAATCAAGAACAGTCGCCAAACAACATGTCAACAGCTCCCGCTCCCTCTGGAATACTCCCCCCACTTACCCATTCTCTCTTTCACTAACCAACTTCAGCAACAAGCGCTATACATCTCAGCAGCCCTCCGCGCGATTAACAGCAGGATGGTCGCCGAATCGACCCCCTACACATCATTCGCCAGCCTCCTGGCGTCATACCACCACCAGTACTCGCAGCCCGGCCCGTCCAATGCGCCCCAGCAGCTCGACTCGCCTTTGCAGCTGGATGCTGTTTTGAATGAGGACGGGGGGCTTATCAACGCGCTGATGGGATCCCTTGAACAGACGCGAGTACAGATCATAGTAGGGGGGTATGTACTGACGAGAAAGCAGGATACGCTCGAAAACACCGACAAACAATTCGGCATTCGAGATGGACGTCGACGAGCAAGTCTCTGAGGAAGAATACAAAGCTCTCCTCTCCGAGCACCGTGCTTGGCAATTGGTCAGGTCGATCTATGAGAACAAGATACATCGCGTAGACCCTGGGTATGAGCTGCCAAACTCGGCGAGGCAGATTGTGGAGAATCCGTATACGAGCCCGGAAGAGCTGGTGCAGAGCATGATTGTGGAAGACCCAGAGCTCTCTTTATGGGCGGTGAGTACGAGCTATTGTGTGAGGGACTGAGCTGACGACAGTAGACTCTCGTGGAACACCTCCAAACGAGACCTCTATTGACATCTGCGCCATACCTTGAAGTCCGCCACGGCTACCTCCCATCCACCCTCCGCCAAGCCCGCACCAACCCCCAACGACCCTCCTCCCTAGACCCCGACTTTACCCTCCGCGACACCCAAGGCGCCGCCCTCGCCGGCGAAGACCAAACATACCAACCTCCCTTCCTCGACTTGCTGTTCAACCTCGTGCGCTACGGCGAGCTGGAGAATGCTATCAAAGTGTGCGAACAATGTGGGGAGCCGTGGAGAGGCGCGAGCTTGATGGGTGTACGGCGCTGGGCGATGGGGGGGATGGTGGAAGGGTCCGAGCCGGGGGGGATGACGGGTAATAGGTATCGCGCGCTGTGGAAAAAGTCGTGTCGGACAATAGCCAATAACCATACCCTCCTTCCTGCTGAGCGTCATCTCTATGCGGCACTCATATCCGACCTCCCCACGCTGCTACCAGCGTGTGAGAACTGGGAGGACTATCTCTGGGCGCATGTGCAGCATAGGATTGAGGCGAGGTTGGAGAAGCGGTGGCATGAGCTCGGCGGGTTCTGGGAGGGAGAGGCGGGGGTGGGTAAGGATCAGGCGGAGGAGGTGGAGATGGCGAGAGGTGGGTTGGAGGAGGTGTTTGAGAGTATGCGGGGAGTTGGAAAGGCGGGGATCGCGTAAGTGCACAAACGGTTGGAAGGGGTGAGCTAATGAGGCGTAGGGATGAGATGACAGACCCGTATCATGTGGCTCAGCAGATGATTTTGCTTGGACGAACCGATACGCTCTTCCACTCTTTCGCTGATCAGATCATTGACCTCGGAGAAGCCATGGCCCCAGAGTACGCCCTTCTTTCACAGTTTGGCAATTCTAACTTGCTTGTAGACTGTTCAGCTCTCTTCTTCGATTCTTCACCCACCTCGTTATCGTCCTTCGAACTCTCAACCAACCGGTCCCCCCGTCCGCCGCCAATATCATCATCCAGGCATACCTCAGCGTGTTGGAAAAGGAAGGAAATGACAAGCTTGTGGCTATGTATGCTGCTTGCTTGAGAGAAGGTAGCGGTGAGGAGAGTTACGCGAGGTTCTTATGGTGTAAGTCGACTTTCTCAGGAGGATGGTTCAGGGCTGATGACAAGTAGCGATGGACCCGTCAGCGAGCAAAGAAGCGCGCTCCGAAGCGCTCCTTCGCGCTCAGAAACATTCCCTCGACACCGCGCTCATTGCCCGAGAAACTGTCCGCCTTTCCCTCGAAGAAGCAATTCCGACTTCTCTATCGACTGCTTTCGTCGAGCCGGACATCCTGCCGCTCTCAGTCGGCTTGACGGAGCGGGATGTGGGTTTGATCAGGTCGATCGAGTGGTTGACATTCATTGGCGAGACTGGAGAAGATGTCGTTGTTCGAGGTAATCAGCTTGTCAGATTCTTCCTGTCGCAAGGCCAAGCGAATGCTGCGCAGTCACTCTTACTCTCCCTGCCATCGCTTTCTCAGGAGATCGCCTCGGCTGCTCATCTGCGCACCCATCTCCTCGAACTCGCCTCGTACAATCGCCTTTTCACACTCTTCACCTCCTACACTTCCCTCTCGGATGTCATCCTCCGCAAACCTCTACCAACAGCTGGTAAAGTGCAAGTGCACAGTTGGCGGAAGGATGTCGGCGAAGCGGTTGAAGAAGTATGGAAGGGTACAGTCGGGCTCGTTGAAGACGGATGGCTCGAGCTGCCCCACGCTGAGACTGATGACGAAGAAGACGAGGGAGAAGTCGAAAAAGAACGTCAAAGACAGCTCAAGCTCATCCGACACATATTCATCCCCGACCTCATCCTCCGCCTACATTCCACCCTCATCGCCCAATCGTTCCTCTTCCCAACGTATCTCCAGAAAGCGCTTCAGCTGGCGACTATCGTCGCGGACGCGAAGTACAGGGTGTATGAGGGGTTCTTGCCGCTTTCGGCCATCTCGCGAGGGGCAGGGGCGGGGGTGGGGAGGGAGAAGGTGCCGAGGCTGGAGGTGTATCTGGACAAGGTGAGGGAGGTTGCTTTGGAGGCGTTGAAGTCGGGGAGTGGGAGTGCGTTCAGGGTGAATACTCTGTAGATGAGATGTCACTCAATTGCCTTCTATCACCTGTCGATAATCGTGTTCGTGTGAGACACTTCTATGGTCTAGCATATCTCATATGCATATCCGTACTCGTACTGCTCTCACATATTTCATCTCTTGTCGCAGCATTGTCGTCGTTCGTCGTCGTCGCTCACCGCCGCCCCCAGATGACGTAAGCAGAAGTAGAGCCCGACCGCGTCCACCACCATGAGCACTGTCAACCGTCTCAATTGTTCTTTTGCATCTCCACCATCTACCTTTCTGCTCCCGGTCCTGTACCCAGCGTACTTCAGGCCCACTAGACCGCCCCGCCCCGCCACTATCCACATCGTCGCCACCTACCCGACAAGCCTATCGGGCATTTGCCGCCATTACCGCCGTCACCCGAAGCAAGCGCTCCCTTCCGTCCCCTACACCGACTGCAAGCAGCGCTCAGCCTTCGCCTAACAAGAAGCTCAAGCCGTCCCATAAGAGTACAAAGCCAAAAGGGAGAAAGCCGGCAAAAGAGGCCACCCCGCCACCAGCACTACTAGAGGCAGCACCGCCGACTCCAAAGGAGCTTGACGTAGTAGAGAAGAACAGCATGTCGTCGGACGGAGAGAATGAAGACTTTGAATTTGAGGATGATGACTATGACGAGGATGGGTTTGGGACGGAGGACATGGGTGAGTGGGATGAACGGGATCTTGAGAGATGATGCTGATGACTGATAGACTCGGCTTCTGAGCCGGATGCATTTGATGCTCTGTCCCCCAACGTTGATGGTGAGTAAATAGGAGGTACAGATGTGAGCTGGCACTGACATGATTACAGACGGACCCCCAAAGAAGCCTTACGACGTGGCTTACAAAATACTCGACCTCGACCAAATCACCGCTAAGCAGCAAGGCATAATCGACGATGTAGTCTCTCTTCTAGCTGTCCCTGTAAGTACAGCGATACCTCATGGTCCCAAAAGCTGACTGTGTATAGATGTCCACCGCTTCCGCCCTCCTCCGTCATTTCAGCTGGAACCGGGAGAAGCTGCAAGAAGCCTACTGGACCGACCCCGACTCTGCCCTCCTTGCCGCCGGCCTCGACGCCCCTTCCTCTCCTTCCCAATCTTCCAAGTCTCTGCCCCAATCATCCCAGCTCCAGTCCTTTGAGTGTCCGATCTGCTTTTCGGATTACGAAGGCAAATCCGCCTCACAAGACACGTTTTCCATGGGATGCGGTCATAGGTTCTGCAACACTTGTTGGAGCGAGTACTTGAAGGGAAAGGTGAAGGATGAGGGCGAAAGTGGAAGGATTCAGTGTATGGAGAGCGGGTGCAAGCATGCCATCAATGCCGAGATGGTGGACGCATTGTCTTCTGGGGATGTCTCTAGACGGTAAGTTTACTCTTTCTTCAATGGTTGCATGTCTAATGATCGCGTAGGTACAAAGAACTCCTTGTCACCGCCTTTGTGTCTGATTCCCCAGATCTCCGCTTTTGCCCCCACCCCGAATGCCAATACACCATCCAATGCACCCAAGCGCCTGCTCGCATGCTGACTCAGCTCGTCCCGACTGTCGAATGCCTGTGCAAACGCCCCCTCTGCTTTGGCTGTGGCTATGCCGATAGTCACAGGCCTGTGATCTGCAAGATTGTAAAGTACTGGGAGAAGAAGTGCGCGGACGATAGTGAGACGTCGAATTGGTTGTCGGCGAATACGAAAGAGTGCCCAAAGTGTAATTCGATCATTGAGAAGAATGGTGGTTGCAAGTGAGTTCCCATCCTCAATGTTTTGATGATCATTAGCTGACGCGGCGACAGCCATATGACTTGTAAAAAGTGCAAGTGGGAGTTCTGCTGGGTCTGTATGGGCCCATGGACTGAACATGGTACGGCATACTATCAGTGTAACCGATACGACGAGAAGAGCGGCTTGGAGGCTCGAGACGCTCAAACGAGATCGCGCGCAGACCTCGAGAGATACCTCCATGTACGTCCCCCTCCCCTCGCTTGCCGCTGTGCTGACGTCTGGGCCAGTATTTCAACCGTTGGGCAAACCACACCCAATCTGCCAAGCTCGACACCGAATTCTACGCCAAGACTGAACGCAAGATGGAGGTCATGCAGCATCAAGCCAACTTGTCGTGGATTGAAGTGCAGTTTGCCAAGGAGGCTATGGATGTTGTCGTCAAAGCGCGAATAACGCTCAAGTGGTCTTATTGCATGGCTTACTAGTACGTCCCGCTACTACTTTGTGTGTGGTGATTGGAGCTGACGGGTTTGATAGTCTGCAGAGGAACAATCAGACTGAGCTCTTCGAGGACAATCAACGTGATTTGGAAGGTGCTGTCGAGAATCTGAGTTTCCTGCTCGAGTCAAACATCGGAGATGTAGAGGAGATTGCCAAGCTGAGGCTTGATGTCACGAACCAGGCGGTGAGTATCGTCTCTGAATCTTCCCAGGACAATGCTGATGGCGGATGACAGGCGTATGTGCAGAAGAGGCATGAGATCTTGTTGGATGATACTTTGAGAGGGTATATGGAGGTGAGCCCCATCACCCAGGTCGCTAATGCTCAGCTGACGTCTTGCTAGCACCGATGGAAGTTTTCAGTCGACGTGTAGCTTTGTATCTATATATTTTGTATATCCAAACAGGCCTTGTGGCGTATCGCATAGACAATCTCTCAAACATCTCTGATGACCTATCGACTTCTATTACTACCCTTTTCCGGACTTTCCAAGGACTTGATGGCCATTTTTCTAACATTCAATGCATCACTTACATGTGCAGCGTGATCAGGGCTACAGATATACGGAAAAGTCCACATGTCAATCTTCTCAGACCGGTCCCCCTGAAATTGAAAGAAGAGTAAAAGGTACGAAGACCGTGAATCCTGTAACTCGATAACGAATTCTCTCCCACACCTTTCCATACACTCCCTACGATGTCCCCCGTCTCTGCGAATGCTCAGTAGCCTGCCTATAGTCAGGTGGCAAAACCTCAACATCTTTCGGCTGTTGAAATTCGACATCTATCGGACCCAGATCCTGCTCTCTTACCGACACAAACATCCTTCTCGACGATGATTGAGCGGGGTCGATGAAGCTCTGCCTGGGACCTTGGCCGTTTGGCCTGGCTTCCACGTCGGGGGGCATGGACGAAGACGCCTCTGCGGCGCCATTCGGGGGCACTGGGGACAAGACGCTCCGCGAATGGTAGCTTGGAGCGCTACTCATAGGCGGCGGAGGGAGCCCTTTGAATGGTGGTCGTTGCCCATCGCGACCGATTTCGCGCTCGGCCATGAGTGGCGGAGGATAGTAGGGGTTAATGGGGGCGCTGCTTGCCGGCGCATGAGGAGAGAGCGCAATGTATGCGTCCGAGGCCCTGTGGTGGGCGTAGGTGTCGTTTGTCGTGTAAGGATTGACCTCGTCACTACTCTCGTTCAGATCCACCCCATTCTCCAACTTTCCCGGTTTCAGATATGGCCAAGACGCCCCATTGCTCTTGGTTCTTCTACGCAATGCGAGCCATTTGACCAGTAGACACAATATCACTAGGCCTACCACACCACCAACTGCGGCTCCTGCGATGGCTGCCATAGGTATCGAGTCAGAGGAGACGCCTCCCCTGAAAGATGAAAGAGAAAGATGAAAGAGGAGGAGCGATAGGAAGTGGTGGGATAGTAGGGAGAATTACCGCTGACTGCTGAAGAGACACCGACAGCTGCACTGCCGCTGGGAACACTACCAGCACTGTAAAATGAACTGGCAGCGGCAGCTTTACTCGACGAGGAGGATGTATAGACATCGGTGCCCCCATTGTCGCTTGTAGTAGTAGCAGACGTGTTGTCGATCTGTATCACAAGGGACGGAGACATCAGCAAAGATCAAGGAATTTGTGGGGCAGCTACTCACTGTGGTGTTCATGGCTGCGGACTAGACGAAGAGGAGGTTGAGGAAGCAGACGGCTTTTGAGTTGCAAAGAGGCGCATGATGGAGGGTTGAGGGGCGGTGTCTCATGATGCCCAAAAGCATGATGGGGTCAGGCGGCAAAAGGGCACAGCTTCTGTACACTCGGACGGCGCTGGTACACGCTAGAGAACAGTATCAATGTACCTTCTACCGCCTCAACCGCGAACATCCCATTAACTTTGGAGGAGATGCTTCTCGAGGCAAGATCAGATCGACACATGACTTTGGACTACCTAGGACAACAGCAGTACAGCCACAGCGTCAGATCGTCCAGAGAAGCGCTTATTCACGCGCCTATGTTTCCCCATGTGCACGATATGAGTCATATCGATCATACCTCTGGCAGGTATAAACCATGACGATATATAGGGGACCAAGCGGAAAGACACAAGATCGAGCAATCTATGTATGGACGTTTATACCGACCAGCCAATGACTCACAAACTCACTCAACGCATTTTCGCTTTCCACAAAGGCTTCATGTCTACGCAGTTCTGGGGACGTGGCATGTACAGCAAAATGCATACTACAGAGTGTAGTCCGAAGAAATAAGCCGATGCTAGATCGAACACAGCACATGAAGTGTTCTGTACGCAATGACGATGCATCGCGCGCTGTATAACAGTATGTAGAAACCAAAATCGTCCACCGACCAAACAAGAAACCCATACACCTCTCCTCCTCCCACCCCTCGCCATTACCTCCGACCCCAACGTTAAACCCTCCTCTGCCCCGACAGCGGTTCCGTAGCCTGACTATAATCAGGCGGCAAAACCTCCTCCGACCTTGGCACTTCATCAAACCCAGCTCCCAACGGCCCTATATCCTGTTCTCTCCCAGGTACATACATCCGGCCCAACGACGCTTGGCTACGCCTCGCATCTCCAGAGGTTGGGCTGGCGTAAGGTTGATGCGGGTCTGGCAAGTCTGCGCCCGGGGAAGACACTTGGTGGGATGATGCTGGAGCGGGGTGAGGGTTACGGTTGGTGTTGAGGGAGGAGCGAGGCGATTGGGGTGGGGGGTGGGCAGTGTAGGGCAGGGAGACGCCGGCGGACTTGGAGCTTCGCCCGGAGGAACTGTTATTTGCTCCTTCCGAGCTGGGTAGTGGCAACCCAGCACCATTCGGCGGGACCTCACTCCTGGGATAACTCAAAGTATTACTCGGCGGTGGTGCAGGGCTACCATTCAAGAATGGCGTGCGTTCCTCAAGATCGTCTCGTCCCAAGGGACCTAGAGGGTAAGAATGACTGTTGTTCGCAGAGTTATGCGGGGCGAGGGTGGTATAGTAAGCACCGACAGCAGCACCAGGAAGCGCACGAGGAGCTTGGGAATCGTTGCTCATGAACGGCTTGACCTCGTCCCCGTTCAAGTCCATACGCGTATCAAGCCTGCCCGGTTTGAGATACGGCGACTCTGGCCGGCCCGGCGCACTCTTGTTACGCCGGAACAAGAACCATGCGAGAACGACGACTAGGGCGAGGCCGACGATACCGCCCACAACTGCGCCGGCGATAGCGCCAGAGGTCATAGACGAGGAAGAAGTACTAGAATCAGGGGATGCGGTAGAGGTAGAGGTCGAATCGCCTTCGGTATTGTTGCCACCAGACAAAGCGGGGTCGACGGTAGAGTTGACGACGATGTAGTCAATGTCGAAGTACTTGCCCTTGGGGCCTTGGCCGAGGTTGATGAGCTGGACGCTGTGGGGACCTTCATCCAGCCCGCTGGCTTGAAAGACTGAACGGCAATGAGAACATGAAGTACAAAAGTGGAAGAGCAAGACTCACGACTGACGCCAGCCTGCAGGTTGAAGAATGTTCCGTTATAACTGGTAGCCTTGGCCCCGTCAAGCCTGTACCAGGGTCAGCACCATCATGTATGTCGAGCAATAAACTCACGATACAGAATAGTTTCCATGGTCGTTGTAGAGCCCTCCAAACACTTGCACACTCGAGCCGTTAAAGTCTAGCGATACCGAGTCGCCCACAGTCTGCGTGATGTACGCCGTACGGTTGTAATAACTTGTACCCGCACTAGTGTTGGGGTTCCACCCCGAGCCGATATACTTCATTGCTGGCGATGAATCGTCGTAGGTGGTAGTCCAGACCTTGCCTTGTCTGATACACTGATCAGCAACCGAGAAAACGGGAGAGAGACAGTCGACTCACGTAGACGTCGTGATCACAGCAAAGTCGATATCCAACCACCATTGCGTATTGTTCGTCCCACTAGCGCTTGTCTGCGACGGCAGATTCTTCAAAACGATCGTATGTTCATCGTCGCTGGAGAGGGACTGGGCCGAAAAGATTGGTACTTGGAACTCGATATCGGCCAAGTAGCCTATCTGTAGGGTCGTGCTCCCACCGTCAAGCTGAGTCGAATAGGCACCATGGTTGGTCCGTTTGGCACCGTAGATGGTGATGGCGGTGCCGTTGAATGTGAGAGAAACATAGTCGCCATCGGTGTGCGTCCCCATGAACGTCTTCTTGTAGTATAGATCGACATCTTGGTCTAACTTGGTGTCAGCACCCATGGATATTCAACGGCGGAGATTGATGAGACATGAGCTCACCAGCGGTGTGATTCTGAATCCAGGTGTTCCCCGAGGAGAAGTACTGGAACTGTGGCGAAGTGTCGTCTATCTACGCGCATGAGACGCGTCAGTACAGATTGAGACCATCAACGATAGACGAGCGCTTACTGTGATGTTCATGGCTCCGCAGTAAGCTGAAGAAGAAATGGGAGAAATCAAAATGGTCATGGATTTACCAGGGTATTATGGCCGGGGGGAGTCGTGACTGGTGGCTTGCACTTGACAACACGCCGAGGCAGAAAAGGGTACAGCTTTGTGGGCCGACACACGCCTCAGGGATGTACCTGAAGCCCGAACAATGGCCGTCGAGGTCGGGCGTCGACATCAATGCCCTTTGGAATTGCAGGCTATGGCGGGGTATGTTGCGTTGTTATGGTGGGTGTGCTCATAGCATCGAGCAAAAGAAAATGTTGGTCGTTTTGACGCGCAGCAGCCATCCTTCCCTCGATTCTCGGAGGTATGCGTCGCTGGCGGAAGAGCACTCGGGCAGCCAGTGCAGCGACGGCACGAGCAGATTCCATCGAGAGAGGGGGTGGGCCCGGCCTTTTACCACATGTCAAGAAACCACATGAAAGAGTATGTAAGCACCCATTTGAATAATGCTATACAAACGATACACCAATGAAGTACGCAGCCGTCATCCAACGAGGCGGATGTCTCCGTTGGGGATGTTTGTGTTTCAAACCGCATAATCAAAAAGAGTCCAGCCATATTGAGGCAATAACGAGATCAAATCAATATGGTGAGCCGAGGTGGAGGACAAGAGCTGACCGGGAGTGTGGTCTTGGATCCATGTTAGATTGCTATCGTTGCGGGATGAGAAGAGGAGCTGGGGCGAAGTGTCGTCAAGCTGTACATATCAGAAAGGGCGTTTAGATGAAGAACAAGACGCAAGTCATAATACTTACCGTGATACTCATGACTGCGGGCGACATACATTATGTTGGTAAGTATGGAACGAAAAGTATGGCTCCTCCCGTGCATATCTAATTCAGAAGCTAGCAATGGTGGGGGCATGGCAGCAGGGCGAAGCCGGAATGATTTGCAGCTTTCCGGTCTTGATACGCGCACTGTGACGACTGTACTGACTGATCGATCGTATCTAGATCTGCTTCTCTCGAGCCTTTAGTGTGTTTCACTTTCGAAGGAGAAGGCTGTCGGGAAGCTTTGATTTGATCGGTCTCATGTGAACAAGATTTGGTTCATCTTTCGCGCACTCATACCTGCATACGCCGCATAGAATCAACAAAAACAGAGACAGTCCGCACAAACAGTGAATAAAAGACCAATCTACAGGCAAGAAGCCCTCCGCCTATTGACATCTACTACTCCCTACTCTCTGGCCCTCTGGCCCGGTAGAGGCTCCGTGGCCTGGTTGTAATCAGGCGGCAAAACAGTTGCCACCTCCGGCTCGACTTCCGCTCCAGCACCAAATGGCCCGATATCCTGCGCCCTCCCCGGCACGTACATTCTGCCAATCGATCCCTGGCTTCGCAAACCATCGCCTTCCCCATGAGGGTTTGGAATGTCTGCGCCGGGGGACGATGCTTGGTGTGAAGCGGGTACAGGAGGGATCGATGCGGTAGCAGTGTTGATCGACGTCGGCGACCGGGATGATGGAAGTCGAGCAGTATAAGGCAGTGGAACCCCAGCAGACTTTCCAGATCCGCGCGAATGCCCATCATCGCTCGTCCCGCCACCTACGCCAAACGTTTGTGCAGCCTCGCTCCTTGCCACTCCCTGCTCCCTAGGCGTGTTGAAAGGGTTTGTATAGCCCTCAGGTATGGGGGGCGGAGACCCGATGCTGCTAGGCGGGTTGATACTCCGCGCGTAGCTCGTGGCGTTACTGGGTGGTGGACCAGGGACGCCATTCAAGAATGGCCCGCGTGCGTCGGTATCGCGCCCTGTAAGCGATAGCGGATGAACAGAATGACCAGTAGTAGTATTGGAAGACAAGCCTCGGACGTGGCCGTTGTAGGAGCTGGTGGGAGGATCGTAGTGGACGGGTAGAGCACCGATCGGGAGGATATGGTGTTCTTGTTGATTGCTGATGTATGGCTTGACCTCCGTACCGTTCAAGTCCATCTGGAAGTCGAGCTTGCCGGGTTTGAGATACGGCGACTCTTCGCCGCCCAGCTTGGTCCTGTTACGCCGGAACAAGAACCAAGCCAAGACGACTACCAGCGCTAGGCCGAGGATACCACCAACAACACCTCCAGCGATAGCTCCGGCGCTCGAGGACGACTTGCCAGATAGAGGCACAGCGGTGGAGGTAGAGGTGCTGTTGCCGTCGGTGCTATTATCAGGGGAAGAGTGGTCGACGGTGGAGTTGACGATGAAATAGTCAATGTCGAGGAACTTGCCCTTGCGGCCTTGGCCGAGATTGGTAATCTGAACGTTATGGACTCCCTCCTCGAGGCCAGTCGCCTGGTACACTAGCACAACATTAGTATACGGAAGAGAGGATGGGCTCAGGAGACTCACGAGTCGTGCCAGGCTGGAGCTCGAAGAACGTGCCGTTGTAATTTGAAGTCTTACCGCCATCAAGTCTAAGCCGCCATTAGCATCATCATGAATGCCAGAACATGACTCACGAGACAGAAAAGTTTCCATGGTCAAAGTACAGTCCTCCAAACACTCGCACACTTGAACCGTTGAAGCTTAGCGATACCGAGTCACCAACAGTCTGGGTGACGTGCGCAGTGCGGCTAAAGTAGTCGGCTGGCTGGAGGGGCGTCGCATCCGGGTTCCATCCCGAGCCGACATAGTTCAGTGCTGGAGACTGATCGTCGTAGGTCGTCGTGAAGACCTTGCCAGTACTGAAACCACAATAAGCAAAGTTCGACGATATCGGAGAAAAAGTCTTACGCAGACGTGGTGATCAAAGCATAGTCCACATCCATCCACCACTCCGTATTGTTTGTCCCACTTACAGTCGTCTGCGATGGCAGATTCTTCAAAACGATCGTATGCTCCTGGTCTTTTGAAAGCGACATGGCTTGAAAGATTGGGACTTGGAACTGCGAAGTCGACGAATAGCCGCTCTGGAAGGATACGCTTCCCCCGTCGAGTTGAGTCGAGTACACGCCATGGTTTGGTCGTTTAGCGCCGTAGATAGTGATGGAGGTACCGTTGAAAGTGAGGGATACATAGTCGGCTTCGGTGTGGGTACCCATAAAGGTTTTCTTGAAGTACAGGTCGGTGGACGGGTCTGATGTGCTGGTAAGCGTTGTATAAGGAATGCAAGAATGCGAGCTGACCGATGGTGTGATTAGCGATCCAGGTATTCCCAGAGGAAAAGTACCTGAACTGAGGGGAAGTGTCGTCAAGCTACGCCACAGACGTATAAGCAGAGTTGAGCCGATATACGAGTAGCTCACTGTGATGTTCATGATGACGGATGGCTGGTGGGAGAGAAAGAGAGTGGGTTATTATATGCGAATGATGATGTCAGCTTGACCGTGGTTGAAGTGTGGAGTCGCTATACAGAGTCAGTACACGTGAGATCGACGGGCGACTCGGACAGAGACTCACCGGGAGTTGACCAGCACTTGTCTCGCGGCGTAATGATCGTGATCGATCGGTGAAATGTACAAGAACAAGGCGATGAAAAGACCGGCTTTTCGTCGTAGTGGACCTTCGGATAGTATGCGTAAGAGTTGAAGGCCAAAAGGAGCAAAGGGTTTGGGAATGGGAGGGTTGTAGTTAAAAGGCGCGTTAGGTGGCAGACTGTTGTCGATCCCAAAGGTATGGCAGAATTGTATGATGTCGCTTCGCGACGCCTGCGCTGTGAAGTGACCGATGGGGTTGAGACGGTGCCTTCACTCCGGTGTCCTTGGATCGGCAACTTACGGCAGGATTTGCGGATTGCACTTTACGGCGGGAGATTGCTGGGAAGAGAGTTGTGAAGAAGGAAGTGGGGTGTCGCGCTGTTGCGAGGTTGTTGAATATATAGCGAAAGCTTGTATAATATAGGTTCCAGAAGATATTCCGGCTGTTGTGTAGCGCCGGGACTATATCATTGACGTCTGTGAAGAGGTTTGTGTCGTGGTGTATGTATGTCAGCCTCGGCCCTCGGCCTCGAGATGCTGAACGTCCAGAGCAGCGCCGTTGTTTGCCGTTTTGAGGGGCGCTTTCGATGCTTGACGATCACGCACATACCGCCATGATCACTCAACTGGGAGAGAGCGCTGAGAGGCGATTAAGGGGCATGATGGGATGCAGATTGGTGCTGTGTAGGGGATGTGTAGAAAGGGCCATGAAATGCAAGAGGAGAGTGATCGGTCCGTGCCTCCCTTCAGGAGAAAGGTTCTTGGGCGCCTAACAAAGCGGAGATCGCCGAAGAGCAGCAGAGCCGGATATGATATAAATACAATAGCTCAACGTTGGACAAGATGTCAATTGCCAGCCGACCAGTCTAGGAAGCCGCGCACTTGTACTACGGTACAGTGCAAGGCATCCTATACATGCTAATGATATCTATATCTGACTGTGAAGTATGAAGAACATCGTCTCCCTCAGGACAATGCCTGATTAACGATGCTGCGAATTCTTTGTGGAAGAAGGGAATAGAGCTTGAATCTTCTCTATCTCTTCCTGAATGTCCAAAGTGCCATATCTTCTCGATGGCATGCTGACATGCTCATCATGACCATCCTCAACATTCCTGGTATTAGACACCGGCGACTGTTTCGCAAACGCTTGTGAAGCGGCGGTCATCCTACTACTACAAGTAGGGCATCCTCTCGTCACTTCTTCTGCTACATCTAGCTTTCTTTTCAGATCACCGTAACTGCGCAGAAGACTTTGGATTGTCGTGGCCTGGCTATAGGCAAGCGTCTTGAGGTTTGCTTTCTCAGTCCCTTTCTGGCGCTGGATTGTCTTCATTTGGTTGTCTATCACATCATCATCCGTTTATCAGATCATGATCACATTGTATGAGAGGAAGGTTCTTACGTTTGATGCGAGCCATTTCCAGTCTGTTGTCAAGCTCGTCCTCTTTTGCATTCCAATCTGCGTCTTCGGTGTCATCGTCGCAGCCTTCTTCTTCCTCTGGAGCTGTTTGATGAGTAGTCCCTTCTGACACTTTAAGGTTGCTGTGTATGCTACCAGCAGACGTCGGCAAGCCTTGTACCATTGCAGAGGACTATGGGCGTGCTGGTCAGCACCAAGTTTTCTCTATTAACATTCAAGAGACCCATTTAAGAAGCGACCGTTGCTTACTCACCTGCACACTACTCGGCCCGTCCATGTGTGCACCTTGCCCATCATCAGCTGTCTCCAGCTGCCACGCAGGTGCAACTTGGCCCCAGTTGTCAAAGTTGTCGAACTCGTTAAAGTCATTGAGAGCACTCCCATCAACAGGGAAGGACGCATTCATCAGATGTAGATCGTCGTACTGAAAAAAGTCGTGGTTGTAACTTTCTGGTATCCCTTCTTGCTGGCTTACCAGGGGGAGTGGGGCGGCGTGGTCAGGTGGCATGCTAAGGGTCGGCTCATACATAAGGTGATGGTATCCTTCATCATTTTGAGGATAGTTTTGGTAAGTGTGGTGTTGATCGTCGTGATCCATCTTTGGGTGATGGGGCTGGGTGAGAGAAGAAGCTACAGATCAGATGATGATGAGGTCAATCTGGCGAAGTGATGAATTCGGCTCATTTTGCCCCCTGGTTATATAGTCTGCACTTGACCAAGAAACTACACCCCGCTCAGACAGTCGTCATGTTTCAAGCGGCGTTAGACAAACACCACTTCACCTCAGCTGACGACGCGAAAGGAACATCCATTTCCCACCTTGTATTCGGTAGAGTATTCCTTTCGGATGACATTGGAACAGACAATGGGCACAACGCACGTAAGAGGAGGGTTTCGGGCATGGGGATATGAGATCAACGCGATAGTGACGGGACATGAAGATTTTCAGATATCCGTTGTCACCTTGTCAAGGTTGCATAGGAGCACGAAAACAATCAGTTGGGCTTTTTGCTAATCACTCCTCCTCCTCCTTCGCTTCTTCCTGCGCTCGTCTGGAAGCTGCGTACCCGGAACGCCATCCTCGGCCTGTGCCAGCTTTTGAGTCAGCTCTTGATTTTGTGTCCTCAGATTTGAGTTGAGTCGTTCAACTCGTCGATCAACTCTTCCTGATCAGCAAGTTGAAAGCGTAGCTGCGCATCTTTGATTTTCTTGTTTCTGCGCCATCGAACAGAGGCTGCGTTGTCTATAGTACGTCAGATCAATGGCCTTTGTATCTATAGCTTGAAGAATAGAGCGCAGAGCAGATGTGGCAGCGGGGATGAACTCACTCCGCTCTTTACGACCACGCGCCTTTTCTTCTTCATCAGGCTCATCGTCCTCTTGTTCTTCTGGCTCGGATCCGAGCGAGCGTCTTCCTTAGTGATCATCTGCCGTAGCTGTAGCGGATGCATAACTAGAAAGACTGCTTGCGGGAAAATGAGTTGTGGGCATCATGGTACCCCACGCGGGCTGAATGGTCAGCCACCACAGATTGCCCAACGCATAGTCAGCTTACCTCCTGTGGGGTTGAGAATGGGTGGTAGCTGCTGACATTCTGCTGGGGATTGTGAAGGCTGGGGTCCAGGAATGAGAGGGGATTGCGGGTACCGAGATTCTGATCCACATCAGTCGTTGGGAGGAGAGAAGGAGGAGGCCCAACGGTCGCAGAGAAACCATCGTTGACGTCATCCGGGAGAACGGGTGGGTAGTAATTCTGGATGCCTCTTGAGGTGACGGTCTACAGGGTCTCGTGATAAGCACATGTGCTGATGTTGCTCCAGGGCTGATGATACACAGTGTATGGGGTGGAAAGGTCAACACAAGGGTCGGTAGGTTGGCTGGGGTGGTTGTTTGAGGGGTGGTAGGAGCGGTCGTTGAAGTCGTCCATTGTGATGAAAGGCAAGAAAGAATATGGAGTTACACTATCACTGCTGCTGTAGACCGGTCCTGATTCAGGATGAGAAAGATCTATAGGATGTACGCGATGGTAGTGCATGTAATCTATCAAACGGAAGACTTTATATCTAACCTGTCGTCTGAGTTTCAACTTCGCTTCTCACAACGGCGGCCGACAGCCATCATTGTATGCCGTCGTGTGTACAATGAAAGGTTATCACTGCAGGACATCTATATATGTTCTCGTATCTGCCGCGCAGAGGTTCAACCATGGACGGACTCATTAAATGTTCATCTTACCAAATGCTGAAGAGCATCGCTGATAGCGGAAGGCTCGGTGGATTCGTGGTGGGATTCGCTCTCTTCAGCCATTGTGAATATCGTCGGGGAAGAACTTCGATGGCCACCGAGAGTGCAGGCCAATATTTGTAGCCCTCAGACTCATAGAAAGGTGTGCAGGAAAGGAATAGGTTTGTCGGCTCCTCAACTTCGCTCCCCATACCGGCGCCCGAGAGCAAATCAGGCATAAGAATAGCCATCGATGCCAAAAACAGTCCCAACCGAAATATGATAGGGCCTCGTAGACAAAGGACAGTTGAATGTCAACGGAAAATGATTGTGTCACTATAATCATACATGTAGCAAAGAAGCTCTCCCTACTTCCTGCCTCCCCTTTGACCGCCCTTCTGCTGAGGCTTCTTCCCTCCCGTCGTAAACTTGTTCTTCTTCCTCGGCATACCAGCCTCCACAACATCATCATCCCTATCCCTGTCATCCCCATCCCCTCGCCCCTTCCTCCCCCCATCCCTTCCTCTCTTCCCGCCCGCACCCCCCGTCCCGGCTTCACGTATTTCCAAAGCCGCCTCCCTGTTTGCTCTCGCCACCGTCTCGGCCAAGAGGGCGACGGCTTCTTTGTCAGCGGTGAAGCCGGTCATCTTTTTTCCGATGTGGGCTTCGATACGTTGCAGGATTTCGACATCGTATTGGGTGACGAGGGTGATGGACTTGCCGGAACGGCCGGCACGGGCTGTACGGCCGACTCGGTGGACGTAGTCTTTGGAGTTTGTGGGCATGTCGTAGTTCTACAACATTCTGTTAGCAAAGCTCGAGAGACGGTGGAGAGGGACGTACGATGACGAGGTCTACGAGAGGGATATCCAAACCACGCGATGCAACATCGGTAGCCACCAAGATACTTCTTCCTCCACTTTTGAACTTGTTCAAACTCGCCAATCGCAATGATTGGGTCATTTGACCATGGAGCGGGATAGCAGGGAAACCCAATCTTCTCAAAACAATCGACAACCGTTGAGAGTCTGCGACAGTCCTCGTGAAGATGATCATCGAAGAGCTCGCCAGCTCATTCGCCAGATACAACAAATAAGCATCTTTCAACTTGAGCGGCATAAGCAGGTAGTGTTGGACCAGAGTGTCGACGGTAGAGTATTTGGAAGACACTTCCACACGGACGGGTTTATTGAGGGAGGCACGTTGGAGCTTGGCGACTTTGGTGGTCATGGTAGCGGAGAAGAGGTAGGTGTTGCGTTCTTTGGGGATGACTTTGAGGATTTTGTCGATGATGGGTCCGAAATCGAGGTCGAGGAGACGATCGGCTTCGTCCATGACCTGAGAAATGGTTATCTTGAGTAAATGAGATGAAGGCGTAGGGCGTACCAGATACTTCAGGCTTTTCAATGAGAAACCTTTGGTGTTCTCGAGATGGTCCATGAGACGACCGGGTGTAGCAACAATAACATGGGGTCGTTTCGAGAGAGCAATGGATTGAGACATCATGTCCATACCACCAACCAGCACGGCTGTCCTGACGCCAATGCCGGAACCGAGGGAAGTGACCTGCTGAGAGATTTGATACGCAAGTTCTCTTATATACTGTCAGCATCTTCAATACAATCAATGCAAAGATACACACCTCGTGGGCGCCATGACGAGCGCAAAGAACGGCTGCGGCTCTTCCCAAAGTGCCTGCAATATAGGCAGACTGAACGCTGCAGTTTTACCCGAACCAGTCTGAGCAAGACCGATGATATCCTTGCCTTGTAAAGCATGCGGGATAGACTCGGCTTGAATGTCGGAGGGCTTCTTGAAGCCCAATGAAGCACATGCCTGGCAGAGTTCTGGCGAGATACCGAGGTCGGCAAAGGTCTTGTTGTGGGAGGCTTCGGGGGCGTCGGGGTTGGAGGGAGTGGGGGATGGAGAGCGGGGAGCCTCGGAGGCGGAGCGAGAAGACGAAGCTTCTGATTCGGACATTGTGGATTGTATAGTGTTCGTCAAGGCCAGGCCAAAATAATTGTTGTTGAAATCTCAAGGAGGTGGAGGTCAGCGTAACTTGCGGTTTACGTAAATCTTGATATTGATTTGTTTTTTCTGCATTTCTCCCGAGTCATCCGCGCCTGACTTCTTGGTTGACTTCCTTTCATCATTCTCCATACACAAACATCTCACTTCACAATTTGATCTTCGCCTGCCACTCCCATTATTGGCATTCCATCGACTTCGACAACCCGCCCGACCTCTCGCCACTTCACATGTCCATATAGCCCCCACAGCAGTCCTTGAAGAAACAACACAAACAAACCGACAACCTCGCTTGTAGCCCCGACACAGCGTCAACATGGCTCTTCCTCGACGGTCGGCAGCACCGCCTCCCATGGCTATGCCAATTACAGGATATGCCGATGTAGCAGAGCTGGACAAGTACAAGCTTGTCTCAAACATCGGGAAGGGAAGTTTCGGCGTCATCAGTAAAGTGCAAAGGGTTTCGGACGGCAAGGTTTGTTTTTGCCTTTCTATTGGATGGGATGAGGCTGATGGAAGCTATAGGAGTTTGCTCTCAAGCAGCTGGACTATAGCAAGATGACGGACAAGGACCGCAAGCAGATTTTGGCCGAAGTGTATGTTTGTTTGTTTGCCCCGATGTCGTATGGTATGTTTTGAGCGACGTCAAACTCACATCCATGTAGAGCTATTCTTGAATCACTGAAGCATCGCAACATTGTCCAGCTTATACAAAAGATCAAAGACCCAAAGAATGAACGGATCTACATCATCATGGAGGTACGTCGTGTCTTGCCAAACATCGACGGAGCTGACACATTTCACAGTTTTGCACTTCTGGCGATCTCGGTACCCTGATTCGCAGAGCACAGCGCAACAACTCGTCCATACCAGAGGACAAGATCTGGAACATTTTCCTCCAGATTGTGCTGGCCTTGCACCACTGCCATTGGCCCACGGAGAGACAAGTGAAGTCCGGAGGCCGGACGAGTTCGGCGCCAGTTATGCCGGATGGGGGCGCGAGATATCAGGTCTTGCATCGAGACTTGAAGCCTGAGAATGGTACGCTCGTCTTTCTTCTGCAACGACCTTTGCTCACCACCCCTAGTGTTCTTGTCTGACGAATTCGTCAAGCTGGGTGACTTTGGTCTCAGCAAAGACATGGGCACCGCCTCTTTCACTAGCACATATGTCGGTACCCCTCTTTACATGCCCCCGGAGATCTTGGCGGAAAATCGGTATGATACCAAGTCGGATATCTGGAGTCTGGGATGTTTGGTCTATGAGATGTGTGCTTTGAAGTAAGTCTCGCGTTTCATCTATCGAGGTCAATGTTGACGTAGCGCAGCTCGCCGTTCTCTAACGCGCAAACACAGCAAGAGTTGATCACGATGGTCAAATCTGGCAAGATTCCGCCACTCCCCTCGCACTATTCACCAGCGCTACGAAGTGTCATCAAGGCCATGCTCACGCTGAATGTGGGTACTCACCCTTCTGATATGTGCGAGATCCTGACGATCGAATAGCCTACGAAACGACCATCAACGAAAGATTTACTGGAAACATCCGAGATGAAGCTGCATCGCAAGCTCTTCACTGTTCAAAATCAGTGAGTTCTATCATATCCGTTGATGACATCAACTGACCGATCCCAGAACGTCTCTCCTGTTTGCCAAACGCGACGAGCTCAAACACTTTGAAGACCAGATCCGCTCCCGATCCCTTGCCCTCGACACTCGCGAAACTGACCTTGCCTCCCGTCTGGCCTCCCTCGAAGCTAGAGAACAGCTCTGTGAAAAGAGAGAGGAAGAAGGAAAGGAAACGCAGAGGCGGTTGAACCTTGCAGCGGAGAGCTTGAGGGGTCAGTGGGAGCGATTCAGAGAGGAGAAGGAACAGTTGGAGAAGGAGATGAGAGAGAGAGAAGAGCGAGCGAGGACAGGGATGGGATTGGGCTTGGTGGATGTTCCGGATGAGAAATGTCAGCCGCGCTCAGGGTTGACTCAGGTGTCTCGGCCGCCTTTAGAGGAGCGCAAGTGAGTATCGCCCTCTCATCATCTGTATTCTACTGACACACTTGCAGCACCCTCCCAACATCCGCGTCTGCCAGATTCTCCCGTCTATACATGGACACGCCCTCCAAGATCCCTCTCCCCACCGCCATCGCCTCTCCCACACCCATAGACGGCCGTTTCGGCGCCCTCAATCTCCAGCCCCGGCCAGCCACCCCTCTCCGAAGGGCCGCTACAAAATCGATGGGCAACCTGGCTGCTGCTGCTCGCGCACAAGCTACGGAGCAAGAGGAACAATCACAGCAGCGAACTGGTGGAGCTAGTGAATGGAATGGTGCTTCTCAGGCGACGCCGGCGAGACAGCACAATTTCCAACGCAATCAGCGTACATCTATCGGCTCTCCATCCGAGCTTCAGAGCGTATACTGCGAAGACGTCTCTATGGTTTCTGCCGTCCCGTCTCCTTGGCTCGTTCGCCCTCGCCGATCGTCGATCGCTCCCCCCACATTCCATTCCGAGCACAGCTCTGACTCTGGGGCAGAGGTGAATACGGCTACGAGACCGGCTCCGCCACCACCGACGTTGATCCCCGGTCCCTCTAGCGGGTTCGTGTGGAAAGAGGCGGCGACACCAGCCAAATGGCAAGCCGATGACCCAGATCTGCCGAGTCCCTTCCTCCGGCGGCCAA